ACACTGGTGTGGGATTAGTGCTGGAATTCTATGTCTAGAACTCAACTATAAATAATTTTGTAGATCCTGGTCCTTTAATAACTTTTTTAAAAAAATCTTATTGAATCACCATGAGATAGTTACAAGCTTTCATGTCTGGGTTATAATCACACAATGATCAAACACCCATCTCTCCACCACTGTACATTCCCCACCACCAATATTCCTGGTATACCCCCCCTTTCCCACCCTCCCCCTGCTTCCATGGTAGACATGATTCCCCATAATCTCTCTCTACTTTTGGGCATTATGGTTTGCAATTTAGACCCTGAGAGGTTATCATGTTTGGTCCTTTACATACTTTCAGAACACATCTCCCATCCTGGCCGGTTCCTCAAGCCATCATTTTCTCAGTGATCCCTTCTCTATTCCAGCTGCCTTCTCCCCTTGCTCATGAGGCAGGCTTCCAGCTATGGAGCAATCTTCCTGGCCCGTGTACCTACTATCCTTAGGTGTCAGCCTCATGTTATATTGTTTTATACTCCACAAATGAGTGCAATCCTTCTATGTCTGTCCCTCTCTTTCTGACTCATTTCACTGTGAAATGATACGTCTCACTGATACGTATCTGACTCACAGTGAAATGAGTCAGAAAGAGAGGGACAGACATAGAGTATCATGCTAAGTGAAATAACTTTTTTTTTTTTTAAGAAGAGTTGTCAGCAAATAGCAGAGGGAAGAAAGGGAGGGGGAAGAAAGACTAATAAAGCCATGGTGGAACAGAGGTATAGAGAAATTAAATTCTTGTTTGCTTAAAACTAAAGTGGAGTTGGGGCTGGAGAGATAGGACAACATATTAGCTCATTTCTGGGTAGAGCTTGGAACAAAGTCTTTTATACCACATTTATGCTTGAAATAATAATTGTATCATTGATAGGAAAAGACACCATTCTACAAGGAATTTAAAGTTTTTATTATATACCATTCTACAAGGAATTTAAAGTCTTTATTATATACCATCACATAAAATGTTCCAAGCTACATAACAGAACAATAAATGTCCAGAATGCTAATATCATAAATGTATAATTATATTTTCAGTTTTCACTTATTAATACATAACAGGCAGGATTTAAGAGGCCAGTTTTATTTAATGTTTAATAGTCAGTTTTGCTTTGTTTAATTTAAGAAATGTCAGCAAGTATATTTTAATCATTCCCATTGAAAAGTAATATTTAGTATTCCTCTCTAAAGAGTCTAAACTAGTTTCAAAACATTTTTATATTGAAAAACGTAATAAAGCAACTAAAAATCTGCAACTACTTAAAACGAACAGAATTTGATACTACAAAATGGAAACAAAATAAACCATAATCGGATCAAATTATGGTAATTATCCATATTGCAAATTATAATTTTCTATTTCACTAAAATTTCTATCTTCTAATTAGCTTAACATATATAATGAATTTCAATTCATAAAATGCACATACACCCACAAATGTCATTGTTACATACTACGTGCATGCATGTGCATGTATGGCTAGTTTTCAAGAGTTCTACTAAAATTTTAAACACATTATATGAATCAAAAGAAACAAATGTAAGACTGGTGTTCCACTGCTTGCTTATCAAAAAAAAAATTAAAGCAAAATAATTAAGGAAGACACCAAATTCTTATAATAATCAAGAACTAGAATTTTGGGATATTCTACTTTATGTTTTAAGAGTCGTACATGTATATGTAGATATACATGAATACACAAATATGCATGCCACTTCAAGCCACTTCAAATAGAAGTCTTTTAACTGGAGAATTTAAATTTTCAAAAGCTCAAAATAGGTACTGAAAACTTCCTACTGTCAAGTTTCCTGCTATCTATATTTCCTGAGATTAATCATAAAGTCAAGGGTCAGGTGTTTTCTGTGTTTCAAAAATCTTTGTGAGAAAGAGGGGGAATCAGTTACTGCGCAGTGAGACGTATCATTTTCTGGTGAAATTTTATTTCATGAAAATAACCTATGGCATGAAAGCACAACTATTTTGAGTTAAATATGCGAATGACTGATACTAAAAAACTTTTCTATGCCTTCCAAATACAGGGTGTTGGGAGGATCCTCATAGGATGGGAGATGCATGCTGAAAGTAGACTATAGACCGAACATGATTGTCACTCAATTCCTCTTTTGCAAACCACAGCACCCAAAGGGAGAGAGAGAACAAAAGGGAATGCTCTGCCATAGGTAGGATGGGATTGGGGGGATGGGGGATGGGAGGGATACTGGGATTAGTGGTGGTGGAGAATGGGCATTGGTGGAGGGATGGGTACTCTATCACTGTATAGCTGAAACCCAAGCACAAAAATTTGTAAGTCTACAACTGTACCTCATGGTGTTTCACTAATGGAAAAAAAAATAATAATTTCTATGCCTTTGATTGTGAAAGTGGATGTCCCTGCACAAGTATTAAAAGGCAAATAGTCCTGAGTTTGCTCCTAAGCAGTATTTAAGGGACCCAGGAACAACACAGATATCTAATGATATCTGGTCCAGCTATTTGGGTCTGAAGGTTCAGTAATTAGACAACAATGAATGATGCCAGGCTCACCAGGATCATCCCAGTAATGCACAAGGGACCACAAAGTTTGGGGACAACATCCCAGCTTCTGCACACAAGGCATGTACTCTAGCCCTCTGAGTTAACTCCCCAGTTTTCTGACCTTCTCTTTTAACTAGTCATGAATTTGAACACAATCTGTCATTTCTCAGATCTTCTTGTCATGTTAACCATTTTAGTATTGAAAGAGTCTTATTTGGAATATTAGTTTATTTTCATCAACATTTCACATATGTAAAAAAGAAGTCTAGAGATTTTCGGGAATTTCGCAAATTCACACAGATTCAAAATGAACTGAACATCCCAATCCAGTACTTATGCATGAAGAAGCAGCTGTAAAGTTTAAGCAGTTATTCTTTATACACAAAGATGTAGAGTTTCAGAACAATAGTACCACATTAAAAATGAAAGCTTTTGGGGCTGGAGCAATAGCACAGTGGGTGGGGTGTTTGCCTTGCACTCGGCCAACCTGGGTTCGATTCCCAGCATCCTGTATGGTCCCCTGAGCACCGCCAGGGGTGATTCCTGGGTGCGGAGCCAGGAGTGGCCCTTGTGCATCTCCAGGTATGTCCCAAAAAGCAAAAAAAAAGCTCTTATTTAGTCCTTTATCACTGGTAAACAAATAGAATGTCAACATTACTGGGCAGTTTAAAATATTAGCCCATGCATTTCTCTTTGCATTATGTGTTAAATAACCAATTAATTATTGGTTAAAATTTAATTGGTTAATAATAATTTATTGGTTAAACATTACATAATTTTAAAGCCAGACTACTTTAAACACCACTCACTCTTTTGGGGTTCACAGAAATTAACAAACACTGTAAAAAACTCCAATTCATATTTGCATCTCCTCAGCAAGTTGACTACAAACTTTTACCACTCAGTGGGAAGATACCGTAAAAAAAAAAAAAATCTAGAAACAGAATTTCCTCTTTTGATTTTCTTTTAGATGTAATGGTCAAAGATCTATGCCCAAAATTTACACATTTTAAATTTCTAAAAAATAGTAATTAAACATGTTAATTTAACGTGGCAGCACAGTGGGTAGGGCATCTGCCTTGAATGTGGCCGACCCAGGATCAATTCTTCCATCCCTCTTGGAGAGTCTGGCAAGCTACTGAGAGTATCCCACCCGCAGAGCCTAGCAAGCTCCCTGTGGCATATTGGATGTGCCAAACACAATAACAAGTTTCACAATGGAGATGTTACTGGTGCCCACTGGAGCAAATCAATGAACAGGAAGGACAGTGCTACAGTGCTACAATGTAACACCAAGTTGTTCAGCAAGAAAACTTAAAAATCTGCAAGAAAACCACACCCTTCCTCCATACCATCACTGCTTAAAACTTCAGATAGAAAACTTAAATGGTCTATATTTTCTACCTGATCAGTTATGTAACTCTTGAAAATGTACTTTCATACCCTAAATATATTTGTTTTCCACTGTATCCCATGGAAATGATAGCTCACAATTTATTAGACTCAGAAGTTTGTCTTATCCATTCAAGGTTATAGTTTAATAAGTAGGACTTACAATACAAACCAAAATTCTATGTAGAATGAATTATGAGTAAAAACATAGCAAATTAAGCAAAACTAGTTTTCAGGACACCTAGTAGACCAACCTAATGAAATGGTAAATATATGCACTATAGTTGGGTTGGGGAAAAAAATAACTGATGTGGTTTAGTGCCGTCCTATTCTAGAAGCCCTAAATAGTGGCTCAGTAGGCTACATTTTATTCAACATATAGTGAAAACCATCTAGGGATTTTATTTGAATAGAGTATGTTAAAAGAACAAGTAAGGACCAGAGTGATAGTACTGTACAGAGGGTTATTGCCTTGAACCTAGTCAATCCAGGTTTGATCCCTGGCATCCCATATGGTCCTCAAGTTCAGCCAGGAGTGATCCCTGAGCATAGAACCAGGACTAAGTTGGAGTACAGTAGGTGTGGCCAAAAAAAGAATCAATAATAATACTTTTTTTAAAAAAAAAAAACTATGCAGGAAAGTGGCACAGCAGTAGTACAAGTCTTGGATGTATGACATCAAATTCAATTCCTCATACCCACCCCTCCCACAAACCCCCACCCAGCCCGCCAATTAAATCTATAGCAAGGGAAGAGCAAACATCAACTGAACATCAACTGCCATGGTTCCATGCAACTGATATATAAAAAACCAGCAGAAAGACAGACAACTAGCAAGGTGAAGGAGTCTGATTCAAAAGTTATCTTTAAAATACCACAATTCGATACAGAAAAAAAAAAAAACAAAATAAAACTAATCTAAGAGCTAAAAATATGATCATCTAATCAAAATTTAATTTTTAGTGCTAAGACAAAACAACACTGATTATCTAAACATCAGGGAGTATCCAGTGTTTAGAAGTAGCCTTACCTTAGATCAGGTGATTCGGCCCTCCCATATCGGTCCTGCCACTTCCCAACGCTTGAACTGGCTTTTCTGGAGGCAGTACTTGTCTGAGACTGAGAAGAGCTGCTGTTTCTGGTGAGATAAATTTTCTATGGTTTTTCTTACATGTTGTTGCCTCTGACCCCCCTTCTGCTTTTTTCTTTTCTTTTCCTTGACATGCTTTTACCCTAAGATTTTTAGCTTTTTCCTATAAATTTATTCTCTCCAAGTAACATAAACTAAACTAAAATAAACTTGCTTTAGTATTAAGACTGCTAGTGTACTTGAATAGAGACATGTCATAACATTTTATTAACTCCAGAACAATTATAATATTTCTCAACATAAGGTTTGATGTCAGAATGTAGACATGTGAAAAGAACCAGGGCTTATTTAACATTACATTACCAAATAAATTTAGTTTTTTACACTAGTAAATAACCTTTACTTCTGCAATTTCACAAAATCTACTTGAAAATTATTATCTCCATATTTCAATAATAAGTATTTTAGTCTACCCAGTTAAAAGTAACACTGATGTCTTTTATAAAATCCTACAATATATATATATTTCATAAAAATTCTATTTTAAAATAATTCAACTCTTCCAAAGTAAATTCTAAAAAAGTTAACTTTCAAAAAAAATTAATTTTATTGCTGGTGATATAATCCATGGAAAGTTCTGATATTTACAATCTCAATAATTCTCTAAAGGATTAATAGATGCTCTTTCCAAGTAATAAGAAAAAGTTAATTTTGTGTATTTGCTTATTTATATAAAAAGAAACAAGTAACCAGATTAAAAAAGAAAGTGGTCATTAACAGGAAAAATCTCAGTATACCTTTGATAAACCACGCCTCAGATAGTATGTCTATCCCATTGCCGCCGCCACAGAAGTTCATCTACTGGCCCTGTTCTAGCAACTCGTAATTATATCTCAAAAGAGATCAACTAGTCCCCCAAATTTCTGGATACCTGGTTCTGGCTGAAACTTCCAGGGAGATCTTGGGAAGGGGGTGGACCAAGTTCCTGTCCTACCAAAACCCCTGGCAGCCACACTCACACCCCAATAGCTGCCACCAAGCCTCCATGTGGACTGCCAGGTTAATACTCTGGATTTTCTGGAGCCAAACTCTACAATACCAAGAACCCTAGCAGAAACACACCACTGGATGGGAATATAAAGTAGAAGCCAACTAATCTCGACTAACCAAAACATTAACATAGAAGGTTTAACTAGCAACAACAGATTAGACAAGAACAACCACATGGTGATATACAACTATCAGAAATTTTCTTTTACTGAAGTATTTTTTGACCATTATTAGACATTTAGTGGGAACAAGCAATATAATATGAATTACTGTGGGTCTACTACGGGGGCAGACTTAAGGACGGTGGGGAAAATGGAGCAAAACGGTGGAGGGACTGGGGGTGAGATACTGAATGCCTGTAATAAGTCATCCTAAACACTGTAAACCACAGCTTTTAAATAAGGGGGGGGATCATGTCTAATGTTTTATATGAACAAAAAATTAGTACGTGAAATAAGCATGGAAGAAAAAATGCCAGAATTGAATGCAAATAGAAACATATCAAATTATCTTTAAATAATATAATAACTTTGAAGTAAACTTTTTAAACATTTTGACTATAAGCCTCAATATGAAAAATGTAGGTTTTGAACATTTTGTGTATACTTTGAGATTAAGAAAATAAGTATATACTAAAATTGTTGGAAGCAGGTTTAAACCGTTGGAAAAGAAAGTACAATAATGAACTAGGAAAAGTGAAGTCAAACCCTAACCCTAATTGGAAGTACAAGAAAAACAACTTCCCAATTAAATTTTTAATATATATTCAGCAACTTCCTATTGAACTTTCAGCTCTGGTTTCTGAAAAGGCAAAAAAACCCCCCACTGATAGCCCCATAGTATCATAGCTAGTGCCCAGATCATGTTTTTTGATTACTATTTTCCATTAAAAGGCATCCAGTATGTAAGTAATAGTTTCTTTTAGACTAAAGGGTAGGGGAAGGACAAACATAAGTTGGAAAGTATGGTAAAATCAAAAGATAAAAATTGAGGATGTTTTGGCGACTAAAACCTCCTGGGAAGGGGGGCGTTCCAGTCCGTCCTTCACGCCCTACTGAGGTTACCAGTTGCCCCCCACAAGCAGCTCTCCGGCACGGCCATGACTCCAGAGCACAGAAACCAATCTCTTAATTATCTGACTTTCAGTAGAAATACTTCCAGGGTTAATAAGTAAAATAACGGAAATCCAAAAACCAACATTTAATTCTTGAACCCAGCTGTAGAAAGCAAATCACTTCACAATGCTTTTTCAGCATGTCTGATGGGGGGGGGGGGTGGTAAACTCTAAATAATAGTGGTGCATCTTTTATTGAAACAATGAATCTAATCAAAGCAGATAGAGTGTTAACTAGAATTCATCTGCCTCGCAGGCACTGGGAGGGGTGAGGGGGTGGGGTTTTATTGGGATTCTTCGGGGTAAAAAACAAGTATTGGTAAAGGGAAATGTGTTTGATATTTGCATGACTGAGACCTAAACCTGAAAGCTTTGTAACTTTTCCCACAGTGATCCAATAAATAATTAAAAAAAAAAAAATTGAGGATGTTTCAAAAAGCCAGAAGAGAAGTTTGAAGATACTCCTACAGAGAAAATCTGAACAATTGGGGGATCAATATGAATTTTGTATACACACACACATTCTCTCTTTACATATATACATGCACATGTGGTATACAAACAATTGTTCAGTTTATGTATTATATACAAAAATAAGCCATATTTATAAAACGACACTGTCTCACACAAAATAAAGATAAATGAGTCTGATAAGTAAATGGAGGCGAAAGAATTCATGTTAAAAACAAAAAGCAAACAAATGGAAGAAATAAAAATCCCTATTTTGTAGCCATCATAGTAGTGATTAAAGCAAACAACCAGTGGATCCTAAAATGAGAGGAAAGTTCAAAGAGGAGCAGAGTATTTATAGCCTCCTCACAGATTACTTACTAAGAACAAAAGCGACAAGAGCAGTTTTGCAATACTGTCACCCAAATGATACCTCCACTTCTAAATGAGCAAAATAAAATTATCATGAATAATCAAACAAAACAATATCACAAGTGTACAAGTTGTTGCACCAAGATGAACAAGACATCATCAACTGGACACCACATTCCTGTGCAAATCTATTATGCAGGAAACAGAAGAGAAAATCCCAACTGAAGGAAATTTACAAAGCAACTAGATTGTACTCTTGTAAAATTCAGTATCAATAAATACGAAGAATTTCTAAATTAAAGAAAAAAAGATTACAAAAAAAGAAAGAAAAGAACTATTACATGAGTCCAGAGAGATGGTACAGCAGGTAGAACACTTGCATTGCACAAGCACAAGGTTAGCCATAGTCTAAACCCCTGACACTACTTGCGGTCCCCACAAGCACCACAAGTGATCCCTGACCACAGAGCTAGGGTTAAACCCTAAGTACAGCTGGGTGTGGTCCAAAAACAACAAGAAAAGAACTACCATAAATGGGTTTATTAGAACAATTGAGTAAAATGTATGGTGTGTATTTTAGATGGAAGTGCTGATTCACTATTAGATTTTAAGACTGAAAATTATATTGTATGATTAAACAACAGGATATTCCTGTTCTTAGGTAAAAACTGTCGACGTATTAGGAATAAAAGGGCATGCTGGCTACAATTTACAAAGGGGCCAGAAAAAATATTTGGAATAAAAAACAGTAAAATTTTAATAACTGATGAAATTGGGTGAACAGTATATAGATACACTTTACACTTACTTGCAATTTTTTTCTTTAGCTTTCTCGTCTAACCAAAACATTAAAAATGAATACAAATAAAAGGCAGGGGCTTCTAGAACTAATGGTAATGTTCTGTTTGTTTATTGATGTGATCTGATACTGGTGTGTTAATTTTGCGAGAAAGTTCTGCATTCATCGCATAATACAAAACTTTTTTAATGAATCAAAAAAACTTCAAAACTTGGAGTCACCTCTGACAGTCTATTGACTGACTATTTTTGGGGTCACACCCAGTGATGGCAGGAGTTATTCCTAGCACTGCATTCTGCACTACTGGCAGTGTGTGGAGGACCATATGGAATGCCAAGGATTGAACCTTGCATGCAAGGCAAAATCTGCTGCACTATGGCTCTAGCCTCCACAGAATATAAAACTTTTAAAGAATAAGTAAAACCTCCTGATATGTTAATGTTTTACTAATGTATGCTGGGCAATATAGAAATTCAGAACCCCAGCACTTCAAGGAAAGTAGAAAATAAACATAAATAGTCCTGTGTAAACATAGCAACAGCAGTCTTTATATTAATTGAAGAATTCAAAATTCTAAATTAAAATATAGCCTTCATCTTAGTAGAAGAGCTTATCATCCCCTTAAATATTTGTTATCCAGTCTCTATGTCTTTAACTGTCTTCTCCATAATGTTATTTCCAAGTCTCTATAAAATACAGAAGAGGGTGGGAAAAACCCAGAAATATTTAAAGTATTTAACAGTAATTAATACTATCCTTTTGACCAAATTAAAGCTGGATCCAGAAAACAAATTTTCCTAATGAGAAATATTTTTTTATATTTTATATATCTAAAAGTGACAGAATTGGGGCTGGAGAAATACAACAGGTAGGGCACTTGCCTCCAGGAATGAACCCTGAGCACAAAGGAAAACCTGAGCACTACTTGGTATGGCACAAAAACAAAAACTGACAGAACTGCCATGCCAGATGTTTCTATAGGTCATGGTGGTTGTTAATCATTTGTTTTCCTAGACTAGCAACGAATCTGCTACTTATCATTTCTTTGTATTCTCTTCCTTGTCCCATGGACTACTATCTTTCCAACTCTCTTTATTGTCCTCTTTCTACAGTCTCATTTTTCTTGTCCTGCTATTCCTTTATTCTATTTGCCTGGTATAATCTCAACTCGATTAAATCCAACTCTTCCTACACTTCACAAACAGATGCATTCTTGCCAAAAGAAAGCATGTCAAACTGTCTGTGAGCCCCTGGTCATTAACCTCAAAAAGAGTAGAACACAGAATCTTTTCCTGAGTCATCAGTTTTTCTTTCCACTAGCATTCCAATCAACATAGAAAAATGTCTACTTTACCCATCCTGCAAAACAGGAGAACCTTTCGCTCTCAACCCCAATTTCATCCTTCAGTTATTGCCTAGCAGAGTCACTCTAATCTTATTCACCTACTCCAAATGACGATCCCAGAGTCTCTTTTGTTCTTAACATAAGGCACCCAAGTCCACTATGCTCATTTCAACAAGGTAAAGTTGACTCCCCAGGTAGCTAGGAAATAATAAAATGATCAGAAAAGCACTTTCAGTTATCCCCATCACTATTACCTAACCTCCAACCTTCTCTGGTACACTCTATCCTGCTTTCCCTTCTATACTATAAATGAACAATCCAAGGGCTTTTCACTTAAGGGTAACCTCATACCTTCTGATCTGCTTTAGAACCTGTGCTAAAAAGTGTCCCTTCATACTTCCTGCATCATCAATTTTATTCTTCCAGTACTCCTGTTCATTTTAATGCAATTTCTTTGACTAATGAAAGTTATTACTATACATTTAAAAAATAAGTTAATAAATTAATATAATTTGATTATGGAAAAACTACCTGACCTCACATTTCCCTCTAGATAGTGTCCCATCTTCCTCTATCTACTGGCCTATTTCTCCACTCTTCCCACAAAAAGGACTAAAAAAATCCTTTAGAAACTAGAGTTCAGGATAGAAGCCAGCAGGGTACTAGTAGAGTGGGCAAAGTGCTTGCCTGTATGCAGTCAACCCGGGTTCAATCCCAGGCATCACATATGGTCTCCTGACCACCGCCAAGAGTAACTTCTGACTGCAGCCAGGAATAATCCCTGAGCACTGCTGGTGTGGCCCCAAAACAAAAACAAAAAATAGAGTCCAGAATAGACAAGAATTAGATGCTTGCCACTTTGGTGAGCACATTGATTTAATCTTTCTAGCATCACATAGGGTCCTGATCCAAGGCAAGAGTAAGCCCAGAGTACAGAGCAAGGAGTAAATCCTAAACTAAGGCACATGTGGTCCAAAATCCAAAATATTCTAATGCTACTCCTCTCGTTCTCTCTTTTAACTCATTCCAGCCAGGGATGTGGCTCAGGGGTAGAGCAGCTGCCCTTGACCCCAATGACCTTTGCATTCTAAAATCCAATCAATAGTCATCTTAGTTCTCATCTTGATGTCAACCATTCCTTGCTAGGAACACCACCTTCACAGATGGGGACAGGAACGAGGGTGGGGGGGGGGAGTAAGATCAGTACCATCAGTAGTGTTCAAGGCTTCTGGCTGAGTGCTCAGCGAGCACTACTGGCAAGAAACACCTCATTTCAAGACATTCACTGAGTTTGCTTTCTATTTCTTCTAATCTTCTTTTACTATTTTAGCATATTCATTTATATTTTCTGACCCGCAAGGAAGGAGTGCCCTAAGATCTTGTCTTGATACTTTCCTAACAGTACTTAACTTAATTACAATATAACTCATTTTTCTAACTTCATTTAAATATTATTTATATCTGATGCTCCCAAATTTACACCCCCAACCCAGACTTTTTCCCCCAACTCCAGATCCATTTATCTACTACCTACAACTTTTCTACCTTATCTCAACGTCCTAAACTGAGCTGGTTTTCCTCCTCAAAAAAACAAAACAAAGCCAAAAAACTACTACTCCTGTCAACTATAAAAAGTCTTTGATACCTAATATCTAATGAGTTCTCCGTATGCCACTATTATCTCTTCCTGAGATCCTTTTACCGTCTCAAAGGGCTTCCCACTGCTGCTTTAAACACTTTAAGATTAACTTAATTATTAAGTTGAGACTTTTAAAACCTAGTGCAGATATTTTCACACCTCTATTCAAAACTGAATGGAGACTCATTTATTTCAACTACAGTAATGGCACCAAGCCCTATATAATAATCTGAACCAAATTAAAATAAAAAACTAAAGTTAGAAGAGCTGGAAAATTATTACTGGTTATTTAAATAAGTGATAAATGCAAAGAGCATTTAATACATGTGCCAGGAACTAAACAACTACATAAATTAATCCATTTAATAAACATGAGTACTCTGTGAAGGAAGTACTCCTAGATTTTCAGATGGGGATATGGAGATTCAAAGACTATGTCCAAGAAACTAGTAAGCTAAACAACCAGAATTTGAATTTACAAAATTTAGCTTTAGAATACAAGTTCTTAACATCAAATCTATATGGCAAATACCAAAAACTCAAGTGAAATTTTTTTATCAAAATTGAAGTAACAATGATTACCATTATTTTGTAAGAACCAATATTCCTCCCCTGTCATAACCTTTTAGACATTTTATGAGATGATAGCAATTAAACATGATCACCAGAGAGGTAGCACATAAAATAAGACAGTCGCATGCAGCCAACCCCAGTTTGGTTCCTGGCATTACAAAGGGTCCCCAGGAGCACTGTCAGGAATCAGTCCTGAGGAAAGAGTCAGAAATTGCCCTTGGGCACTGCTGTGATTGGCCCAGTCCCATTCCTAGTCCTGCTGAGGATCATAGTTAGAAGTGCTGGTAACTATCAATTATTAAGATTGAAAAATAAAAATCCTATGGACTTGGGCAGGAGAGAGAGGTCAAAAGGCTGGAGTATTTGCTTTGCATGCAGGAGGCCTGGGTTAGATCTCCAGCACTGCATGATGTCCTCCCCGCATCCTAGCACTGCAGGAGAGACCCCTGAGCACCGACTTAGATGCTGTCCCTGAACAAGGTATGACCTAAAAGCAATGAGAAAAGATTACATAGGTTGATAATTTTAAGAATACTTTTAGGACTACACTAAATTCTCACATAAGGATTCTTCTTCCACATTTGTGTTCCATGAAATATAATTTCATACAGAAATTCAAAATTACAGAAAAAAAATCAAAAACTATGTAAACAAACAAGTAACACAAAAGGTAAATAATCTAGTTAAGGTCTAGTTGATGACAGGCTTAATTCAAGACTACAGAAATAACTAAAGATATCTTCATTTAACCCAAGATTAAACTACTGACATCAAATTTTCCTAGTCCTAACCTTCATTTACCATCATATGGGGAACAGGCTCATCACTATTCATGTTTACATTAAAATTTAATGTTTACGTTAAAAATTAATGTAAATCTTAATGTTTACAATAAAAAATTACCTTCTGCAACTGGTATCACATGGAATTCAAAGTTAGGTATCATTGCAACAAATCGAAAAAAGAAAAAAAGTGTTCAACTGGAAAGATTTCCAAAGCAGAAAATCTACAATCTCTTATTAAAAATTAGTGAAACACCTTTAAGCCAACATATATAGACTTAAGTTCAGTAATTTTTTAAGTCAATAATAAAATATAGGAACCAAAGAATACAGTGGATAAGGTATTTCCCTTGCATATAGTTGACCCAGGTTCAATCCCAGGTACCACATATGGTCCCCCTAAAAACCCCAGGATTGATCCTTGAACAGAGTCAGGAAAAAGTCCTTAGTACCTCTGGTTGTGCCTACCTTCCTTACCCTACCATTTTTCAAATTTAAATAATGATTAAAAAATAAAAAGCACACAGAAAATAGCAAGACCATTGTTAAAAAAACTCTCCTGATTACGAGTGTTGTCTCTTCATATATACATACATACATACCATGTTTTATTTCTTGCTTACCTAATTGTTTTAAAGATAGAACTCAGAAATTTATAAAAATAATTCATTATAAACTCAACCAAAATAGAATGTTCCTGCATTTAGGGTTTTTCCTTTTTTCCTGATAGAATATCCAGTGCTTTTCTACCTCCTACAGCACTAAAGTCAGTGTCTTTAGTAAGCTAACTGTCTCACTCACCTGCTAGGTGGGAGCCCAGTCTTGAACAAAGAAGGAGGAGAAGTAAACTCAGCTTTTGTAGATGGAAGTGCTGTCTCCTTCTCAGAATTTCCAGTTCTTCCCTGCTGTACCTTAAAAGAAAGGGTCATTAGAGCACGTTTAATGCAAAACTCAAAACACAATACTAAATATGGTAAAGTTTCCAAATGTTAAAATAAATTTGTACCCTTGATTTGAAAGTAAACAAAAAACTGTTTCATTGCTGAATGTTCAATAAAACTGACCTATTTAAAAATAGTATCAGTTAAAGGGAATTATGAGACTAAAATGTTCATGAACTGTCACTATTCAACTACTAAAAAAAGCTCACAAAATGTCACTAAAATTCCAATAAACCTTAACTCTTCAGGACTTTCATAAATTCCCTCAGGTGACCATTCAGTCCAGATATTAAATCAGGATCCCCACTGATGGTGAGGAATGTGCACTCATGGAGGGATGGGTGTTTCATCATTGTGTGATTGTAATCCAAACATGAAAGCTTATAACTATCTCATGGTGATTCAATAAAATTAATTAAAAACTAAATCAGGATCCCCTATTTCTAAGCAGAAGAAACCTCAAAGGTTTCTCAAACCTTTGAGGGGCTCTACCCTTATCTAAGAAAACAGGCATGGGTGGGTCATTTTAGCCATTCTGATAATTTTCTATTGAGAATAGGGCATGCCATAATAGCAAGTGTTAATAATTTGCTCCTTTATTTCATGCCGATTATTTCCTATGTTCTACCATCATTTGAAGAGAACCAGAGCTTTACTTATTAGTACACCCAAAACTTTGGTCAGTCATCTCTTCTTAACAGGTTCTCTCGATGTTCATTTTCAAACCTGGTGTCTACTTCATGATTTCTCCTGGATTTGTCAATTCTTTCTTTTTCCACCAGATAAATTGAACACAGTACAGTCACACCTTTTTAAACAAGTTAGATTTTTTTTTACGCTCTCTTGATTTGTACTCACCTTGCAATCTTAAAATGTATCAATAAATTATAAGGCTGGAGGATAGTACAACAGGCAGGGAATTTTCCTTACATGTGGTCAACCCAGGTTTAGTCCCCAGTACCACAAATGGTGCCTCAAGGCCCAACAGGAGTCATTCCTGAGCACAAAGCCAGGAGTAAGCCCTGAGTACAGCCAGGTGTGCCCCACCCCACAAAAGAACAAAAGGTTTATGGATAAATTAACTATTGGAAGCTGTTCTATACTTAAGTAGCATCCCACATAATTTATGCCTTATTTTGTTGCCCCTATCTTTGACCTTTATCATCACTCTCTTCTCCCATGATGCTAAGGCTAAAGGAATAGCTTATGGCCAGAGGACACCTTGATTTTGGACAAATACATGGAACCATGAACTCAATTCCAGAAACCAACTATGTCCTAATCAGTATTATCTTATACGAATGTATTATCCCAACCTCTAATTGGTACCTTAATATATTCAGGATTAAACACTGGTATTTAACTTGAGTATGAGCCCACTGCTTAACAACAAGAAAAAAGTCACTCAGTGGCCAAATACAGTGGATAGTGCCCCACATGCACCTGACCTGGGTTCAATTTCCAACATCCTATCTGGTCCTCCGAGCCCACCAGGAGTGATCCAAGAGTAATCCCTGAACATCACCAAGTGTGGCCCCAAACAGCACTGCCCCCCCAAAAAAATCCATTTTTAATGCTCTAATCCATATGAGGGATGATGATAAGTACTAAAATAATGAGGAAAACAGATGGATATGACAGTTAAAAATAACAGAATTCAAGGAAACAAACACAATTCCCTCATTCATCCAGCATTTATCAACTATCACTCACCAAAAATGAAAACTTGAGAGAAATACTAGAAAATCCCAGTTGGTGGAGAAGATACACGGTCAAATGTAACAATACAATAAATACTCTAAAAATAACTTTTTTAAAATAAGAGATACAAGAATTAAAAAAAAAATCGATGTGTTCTTCTTCCTGAAGATATAAGGAGGAACAGCAGCCAGAGCTGATGTCAGGTTCTCAACTGCTCCTCTAAGCTCCAGTTATCTACACAGAACTTCTTATGGGTAGAAGTTATGTGTAATTTAAGATTACTTGACTACAAGCCCCACCTATTTGTCCATGCTTTCCTTTGTGCCTTACCAATTTATCTATATTATATTTAGGAGTGCTAGCACAGTGGGTAGGGCATTTGCCTTGCATGCAGTCAACCCAGGTTCGATTCCTTCATCCCTCTGGGAGAGCCCAGCAAGCTACTAAGAGTATCCCATGGCATATTCGATATGCCAAAAACAGTAACAAGTCTCACAATGGAGACATTACTGGTGCCTGCTTGAGCAAATCGATGAACAACGGGAGGACAGTGGACAGTACTGCATTTGTCATAATGACCTTTTAGCTTGTTCTTTTTAACATATAAATTGATCCTTTATCAGAGCTTTCCCATTGGTTATGCCTTCTGCCTGCTAATTACAGTCTCTCCCAGATTATCTCTCTTGGGCATAACTTTGTGATCATTTCAAGTATTATTCCAATGTCTCCCTTGAGCTGCACTACCTGACCTTTCCCAAATAATCTATCACCACACTACATTCACTAAAGGCTTTTATCTTGTTTTATGTCTGTCTGCTGATGTTATAAAAGAAAATCTCTTGGACTGCTGAATCTAGAGAGCTCAAACTGCTGAGCTGATGCTGAGCAGATCCAACACAGGAGGCCAGTGTTGGATCCCCGGCACCAAATGGCCCCCCTAAACAATGTCAGATATAACCCTCGAGCATAGAGGAGTATAGGTCCAGAGCACCACCTGGTATGCACAAAATAATCAAGCAAACAAACACCAGGGGACTGTTCATGGACTATCCCGGTCAAATACATTTCACAAGGGTCTAAAACCAGTTCCTGGCATGGAATGAACATTTGTTATTTAACTGATTTTCGGACTCAGCTAGGTCACTTTTTCAAAATCTTTGTCTTTTCATAGGCCATGAAATTTGTGACTATTACTTTTGGCATGATTAATACCTGTCTTTCTCAATGTCATAAACTCTTTTAAAAAAATGTTAATGTCTAGAATGTCTATCCCCAACACTGTCTGGAGAGTAAGTGCTTAACTAAAAAGTAAGAAAGAAAAAAAATAGTGGGGGAAGAAGGAAAGTCACAAAATTTGAAGAAATGGAAAGAGACTTATTAAAACAAGGAATGAGAATTTAGATAAATATTTATAGAGGGGAAATGTAAGATACGGGTTATCAGGAAGACATACTACATTTTTAAACATGTAAAAATTGCACGTGTAGGGGCCAGAGCGGAAGTACTAGTCAACTTGCATTCAGCTGACCCTGGTTTGATCCCTAGCATCCTGAGCCTGCCAGGAATTGTCCTTGAGCAGAGAGCCAGGAATCAGTCCTGAGCACCAGCAAGTGTGGCCCCAAAACAAACAAACAAAAAACCTGCATATGTACTTTTAGTTTATTTTCTACTTAAATTCTTGAAATCATCACATTAAAAAAATTTTTTTAATTCTAAAAATCCTCACCATTTAAACAACCCTCCAATCTGACTTGCATTTTCATTATCTAGGTTCCACTTCAGATGTTACATTTGTATTATACTCAAAATTTCCTTAACCAGAACAGACTTTTTCGACACGTTCTTTTATTTAAAAAAAATAAAACTCACTTTTCAGGGGCCAGAAATAGTACAGGGGTTAAGGCACTTGCCTCATATGCAAAAGAGCCAAGCATGATCCTATATGGTCTCAGAGTCCTCTAGGAATAAGCCCTAAGCACTGCCAGTTATGGCCCAAAATCCAAAAATATAAACTTAAATAATAAACTTTAAGACACCATGACTGATTTCCTAAAGTGAATTCGTATGAGATCTTACATAACCAAATGAAAATTAAAGTTTATAATCCCGAAAGGATAAATATTCACCAAAATAATAATACTATTGTATAAAGATTACTTTGTAAAACTTTCTTCAACTGACATTCACTGCATTTTTTGTAAAAGTTGAATATTACCAAAAAAAAAAAAAGATGTTTCTAAAAACAAATTTTGTTAAGATTGTAACATACGCCAATATAGGGTTATGCAACTTTAAAAGTAGTATTAAAAAAAAAAACCTTAGTAATCCATGAAAACATTTATCACAGTATACTTAGGTGAAATAATGCAAACTAGAAAACCAACTTAACACAACTGTTTCAACCCGTAAGAACAAAAACAGAAAAAAGAACAAAATTTTAGAACTTTGAAAGCACACACATTTTTACCACAGAGCAGATCTACGTAAACCTGAATCCTACATGAGAAATTAGAAAGCAAAAACACAATGATTAGCATGGCAGGACCCCAACAAGTTCAGAGGAATGACAACTCTAGCTCCCAGTTGAACAGTCAAATCAGCATAACCTACTGTGGAATCAGGAGAAAACTTAGGATGGCTGAGTGCATACTTTCTGATCCTTGGCACCCATTGCCAGGCCCCAGTATGCTGGGAGTGAGCACCAAGCAACGCAACCGGAGGAGCCAATCAAGATTTGGGGGGGTAGGGGGGAATGCAAGTGGGTCTTACAAAATATACCTTCTATGCAGGATACATAGAATGTCTCCTATTAATAATCAGTCTATCACAAAAAGAAAAAAAAAGGGGAGGGGGAGCAAACAACCTAAAGACTCAGAGCTTACCCCTTATAGTGATGGCTACAATCAGCGAACTTTAATACAATCACCATCTCAGTAGCACACTCATGAAACTTAAAAGGATCAACATCTGAGAAAAGCCAAAGTTGGAGCCCAAAACAATAAACTTCAAAAATTTGCATGGAGAAATCTATACATGCACGTACATGTTACAGACAGGTATATAGAGTAAGTCTGAGAGGAATATGGTCATTTTTTTTCATGCACATACATATTTGCCCAATCTCACTAGTCATCATTCTATTCGCTGATCCCAAATTGTAATTGTACAATTGTTTGTGCATACAACTGAGCAATTTTATTTTTACTTATATCTATTAAACTTCCTCTCATTTCATTTCACTTTAAAAAATAAAAGAACAGTTCTGGAAATAGATGACTAGATAAACTAAAGTATATAATATATACATAGGGCTGGAGCGATAGCACAGCGGGTAGGGCGTCTGCCTTGCACGTAGCCAACATGGCCAACCCGAGTTCGATTCCTCCGCCCCTCTCGGAGAGCCCGGCAAGCTACCGAGAGTATTCGATATGCCAGACACAGTAACAACAAAAGTCTCCAATGGAGACGTTACTGGGCCCGCTCGAGCAAATCGACGATCAACGGGAGGGCCTTTTATAGTACACACACACAAAATGGAAATACTGAGGTATAAGAACATGAAATCATGCAATTTGCCACTATGTGGATGGATCTGAGAGTTGGACAGCATCATATTGATTGAAGTGAGCCAGAAGGAGAGGGACAGACACAAAATGATCTCTCATATCTGGGACATAAAGAAACACATAAAGGAATAAAAAAGTGTCCAAAGGTAATAAAACCTCAGAACTGGTCTACGGAACTGTGCTCATCATGGAAGAAAAAGGGAAGAATTTTTTGCGGGGGTTGGTGGGACTGGTGAGGGTAGACACTACATTAAGGTGGAGGGAAGTGGACACTCTGATGAAGGGCATGATATTGGAATGTTGTATGTGTAAAACTGTATCATTAATGATACTATAAATCATGGTGCTTAAAAATAATTGTTTTTGAAAGCACTATAAAAATAGTTAAATTTATTCAAATAATTTGGATCTGTAAATTCCAAGTTCAAATTTATTAATCATGTGAAAACTAAATGTAATTCTCCCTTTTCAATTTAGAAAGCTAAAAAAACCCCCCACATTTAAAAAACCAAAACCACTTATAATTAGCTTCAAATCTGTCAACATTTGGGGGATGGAGCTATAGCACAGCGGGTAGGGCATTTGCCTTGCATGCAGTCAACTAGGGTTTGATTCCCAGCATCCCAAAAGGTCCCCTGAGCACCGCCAGGAGTAATTCCTGAGTGCAAAGCCAAGAGTAAGTAATCCCTGTGCATCACCGGGAGTGATCAAAAAAAAAAAAAGTCAACATTTTGATAATAGAGTACAATAAACATGTAGAAGCTCTTTTATATTAGCCTATCTAGTGTATTTAGAAAGTTACATATGAGAAGTGTTTTTCCTTTTTTAAAAAAAATCAGTTCATTAAAAAAAAAAAAAACAGTTCAGTGGCTGACCTTCTTTAGGGATTAAAAAAAAACTGTAGGGGCCAGAAATATATCACAGGTATTAAGCACACGCTTGGGATGTACAAAATCATGGTTCGACATAAGACAACCCTCCTAAAAAAAAATCTTTGCAGTAAGGATATTTTTTAAAAAATTATGATTTTTAATGCTACTTCCTCTGTTCATTTCAATACTTAGTTCGGGCCCTCAGCAATTGTATTATTAGTGCACTCCAACAATTCCTATCCAGTCTCTGGTATTCTATTTCCCCCTTATATCCTGGCCAGTTCTATTTATAAAAAATAGATTTATTCATGTTATTCTCCTACGTAAGAGCTTTCAAATGGTTTCCTATTACCCACAAATGTCTGCAGACTAGTTTAAGAGGAAAAGCTTTTTCCATCACGGCCCCCATACCATTTCCAGACTCCTCTCAGTATCTGCCATCCCTCCCAACTTTTTGCATGCTTTCTGGTTTTGATCATATTGTTCACTGTCAACGGATTCTATGAGCCTACTAATGAAACCTCACTCATCTCTCAATGATCAGCATCCATTTAGATCCTTCTGAGACTGCAATTTTAGATAAATCACCAGCATCACATTTGTCACAATACTGCAGGGGTTACTTCGACATAGTTCCAGTCTCAATGGGCACACATCTAACAGTGATGCACACACTGAAACTGATCCTCATAATTTCAGTTCAAATACTGGATATGTAAATGAAAGTGTGAACCTTCTTTTTCCAACCACACAACGCCATACACTGCTGCCAGAATACTGTCACTGTTGTCAATTCTCTGCTCATATTAGGCCATAACACCGTGAGTAGATTTTTACTTCTACACTTTCTAAAACTGAATGTTACGACTATGCCCTATCTACGTTTTGCCCCCCAAACCCTCCAATTTAATAAGGCTGACTTCTTAACTAATTCTCTTAGTTCCATTCAGTTAAAACAAATTTCTTTGCCCAAGCCAATTTCCTCCATCTAGAATATTTCTCTATACTCTCAAACCCAATAAAGTAATACACACTTGTCTAATATTGCATACTGTTTTTCTTTTATATTATAAAAGTTTTTATCTACAGAATTGAGGTTGCATGAAGGTTGGTGTGGGGAAGGTGGAGAATTGGGAAAGGTCCTTGGGACATCAGTCAAGGGAATTAGTCTCTGGTGTTATGTGTGGTACTGCAAAAGATGTATGCACAAAATCAATGATTTAAAATATTATAAATATTGGTATCACAATAAAATTAACATAGTTAAAGATTTTTAATAAGAAATCACAGAAACAAGCTATATTTAGTATCACAATATAATTTTACACACCAAAGTAATATCTCTGATTTCCTATTAATTCTTGCAATTCTCTAGAAACTATTAATATTTTTATCTAAAATATGCCTTTTCACACTGAGTACCTCACACATTTACCTCTTCGTATTTGCATTACTGATAAGATCTTTGTAACATTTTAGTAATCACCATTAACATGATACATGGTAAAAGATAATTATTTTTTAAAACTATTCCACAAAAATCTGAAAATCTTAAATTCAACATGGCAGTTTCAGAAATTTAAACTGCAGCTTAAAAATATCAACTGTTCTCAAACACATTTTCACATTTTCAGCATTATCAATTTAAAAAGATCCTACAGACAACAGTAAGCAAAGTGAAAAAAAAAAGTGAGCTGCACACAGTAATAAAGTTGAATGACTGGAGAGATTGCTCAATGGGCTGACCACATGCTTTGCATGCAGGAGGCCCATGTTTAATCCCCATCACCACTAAGTTCCCATCATCAAAAGAAGCCACCCCTGAGCACCAAGATGGGAGTATTCCCCAAGCACCAACAGATACGGTCCCGAAACAAACAAAAAAATACATACCCTACTCCCAAATCAGTATTTCTACAAGACAAGCAATATTTAAGCACATTATCAAGGTAAAAAGAGCCAACAGACTATACTTATCAAACACAAACCCTTATTCATTCAGAATCAAAAATTAAAATGGAAAAATGACCTCTACTCAAAACCAGAAAAAAAACCTTCAAAACAACTTTGCAGTAAAGCAGTATGTATATCAACAAAGTATTCATGAAGGCTACCTTCAATGGAAATCAGTTTCCTTTATATTCTTTAATTTTAGAAGTGTACTGCAAAGAGACAAAAATATATGGAAGCTGGCAGTTTATTAAGGAACTTTCTTAGTTCTATTTAAGGAAAATATAAAGAACCAGTAAAAATAAAATTAATTCACTTTCCAGAAAATGTTTCTAGTCGTTGTAAATAATATTTAACACTAAGTTCAATGCCTTAAAATAGATAACATCACCAAAACCCAAACCTAATGATCATTTAAAAAAGATGAAACAGCAGGCCCTTTCAAAATATTTACAGCAAAACAATAACCAAATACTTACCCAAAGTAGGATGTAAATTAAAATTAAATTCTCTAGAGAGAACTGTGTCCAGCAGAGCAGCTACATCTGCAGATATAGCATACGCATTGCACAAGGTAGAATTTGGTGGAAAGGGCTGTAGTCCTAAAAGAGGCAGAGAAATGTTCCTGCCCACAAAAGAGTTTTCTACCCAATCTAAATGTTATTCCCAATCTTCGTCCAGGTGGCATTCAGTAAAAGAAACAAGAAATAAGATAAAGGAATACACAACCACATTTTGTGAAAAATTTGTGAGTTGCTGTGTATTGCTGAAGTACTGAAATATATTATTTTGAACTGGTTTGTGATTATATGAAATGGAGCAATCAGAAGTGAAACTTAATACCCAAGTGGTAGTATCAACCCACAAGTCCCGTATACCTGCAACTTTAAATTTAAATGTTAAAAATCCACAACTTTCTTAAGAGACTCTTTTCTTAAAGAATGCCCAAACTGTAATACATACAACATTCAATGTTATACAAATATTCAGATTGCCATCTTCCTTACCATTGTTAAAAAAACAACAAGGAAAATTTAAGCCTCCAATTTTGATAGATTATATTATGATCTATATAACAGCTTAACCTGTTGGAATAAACTTTTATATCCAACAAACAAACATAGACTATGACTCAAAATAAAATCACAACATAGAGCAAGAACTTTACTTTGCATTTGTTAGTATAATAGGGTACAAATTCACATGCTTGCAAAAGTGGAGATAAAACAACAATCAGCAAACTTGTAAGTCACCAGGAAGCTGAAGGTTTGGAAAAAAAGAAGCTATTTCCACTTTAATCTTGTCCCTTGAGTAGTGGTATGGGAGCAGACTCAAGAACAAAAAATGAGAGCAACCAAGGATAATTTACTAAAATTCACCTTAAAAAGATTGAATCTGCCATCTTGGATCTCTGCACCTGGTGTAACTTCCATAGTACAGTCTTCGGCCTAAGTTAAATAACATATTCCCCATTAAGATACCATGTAATTTTGAATTGATAGGCCATACAAAGACAAACTAGCTGTGGCTAGTCAGTGACTTGTAACTAAATATCAGATAAGCATTAACATAGAACTCTGAAAGGGAAGGGGGAAAAATACGATAAAAAGAACGGAATTTTAAACTATCACACAGTATTTAATCACCTTTATGGGGGAAAAAGTGATTAGGGGGAAAAAACTGGGACAGTAGAAAAGGCAGGGGTATTTTGAAATGTTTACTAATTACCGTAATTTTATTTGTTGTTGAGGTAACTGGTATAACTTCAAGCCCCATTCGTATCCTTTTTTGTTTTTCACAGTAAGCTTTCCAGGTATCTTCGTTAAACCCATAATTAAAATAATCAGAAAGGTCAGCGCCTAAAAAGAAGACACAACTTTTGTATGGAAGTATTTCAATCCTATTTTTATGCAGCAAATAAAATATAAAAATGTAAATGATAAGTTTTATCAGTTTAAATACCTCCTCAAATTTTACTGGTTCTTCCAATTATTACTCTAACACCACAAAACTATGTTTTTAATGGAATTTCCTTTATAAATGGCATGATAATAAAATAGTATGCTATGCAAGACTAATATAATGCTAAGTTACTATTACAATTTAGCAATACAGGTTATTATTGCTAATTATAATTAGGACATTTATAATGACATTTACAAAAATCCTATTAATACTATTGATACTGAAAGTTATATATTTTTCTAATGACTTTAATACTAAACATCTTTTAAAAATCTACAATACAGAGAGATTAGTCAAAGAGCTAGAATGAATGCTTTGAATATACATGCCCAGGTTTTATCGCAAGCACACAAGGTGACCAGTCATTGCCATAAGACCTCAAGCACCATCAGGTGTTCCCAAGAAAAATCAGTCCTCTTCTGCTGGAGAAACAGCTCAAGTGCCCCACTCCCTGGTACCACAATGCTCATCCCAGAAGACTGAGCAACACACACACTGAGTGCCCCAGGACCTTGAGGGTCACTGAGGAGGCTGGTCCCAGGGAGGAGTATGGAATCATTTATCATCTTACCAGGTTTACGCCATGGTTTATCTTCAAAAGAATCCAAATCTACCTCCAAGAGCGGAACTCCATTAATACTTCCAGGTGCATCAAGGTCTACCCCTTTGACTTTTGTTCCTTTTTTAACAAATACAAAATAGAGAAAGAATGGCATGAGAAAGATACTGAGAGAAAAACAGAAAACACCATTTTACTAGTGATAGCTCTAAATATAACAAAGGCTTCAATGAGAGCATACAATAAGAATAAGCATGTTCTCAATAACAGTAAGTTTAAACTTTAGGGAAGAAACTCTAAGATAAAAGTGTACGGACTAGGAACTTGTTAACTCATTCAAATAAATTCCTGTACCAATATGTACCAATAACTTCCAGATATTAAATCACTTTTTATATGCTGTGAACTTTAACAGGTTTTACAGGGTTGTACAAACAAATTAAAATCAAAAGAGGAAAAGAAACCTCATGACCCACAAACTCTACAAACACGTATTCTCTTACATAGCCTTTCACAGAGAAAAGTTTCCCCATCCTTGAGACACAAGTTTACTCTCTTCAATTGAACTGAAGCACTCTTCAAATACCTGTGACAGCTACTATAGTCTATGCATTATTCAGCTATAGTCATTACTTTCCTACTGATGCATTGGCAAATACAAATTTTACCTGTAGTTCCATAAACTCTTCCTCCTGTCTTGATATTAAGATTCACTGGTGCTGTTCCATAACTCCTAAGAACAACAAAAATTATCTTGATAATCTTGAACTAAACAAAAATAGCAATATATTCCATGTATACAAGTTATACATATATAGACTGACACTGACTAACATGTTTTTAAAAACGTGGGCGTGGGGGAGGGTTCCGAAGTGCTGATTAGGGGAACTAAGAGCCCCTTCTGCCATTCTTGTGGTCAGCAATTCAGTTCAATGCCTGGGTCTGAGAATGCAATGTTCTCCAAGCACTGCAGTACCAAGGATTATCTACAGTACCCCAGTTGAGCTCAGAGACCTTCAGAGTCAATTCAGCAATGCTCAGGGGACCAGATGGTGTTGGGGATCAAACTAAACTGGTTACAGGCAAATCAAGTGAGTTAACTCACTGTACTATTTCTCTGGACCCTAGGGGGGGAAAAGTCTTAATTTTTAGTCACTTATTAAACAAAAGATTTAAAAAGAACATTTTGGGATCAAGAAAGATAGTGCAGAAGGCCTTCAAAAGTACTGCCAGATGTGGCCTTGGAAGCACCTGAGCACCACGAGAACAACCAGACCACACACTTTGGCCCTCAAATTAAACCACCTACCAATTGGGCTGAGAATCATTCGCAGTGGGGCCTGGGCCACCTGAACAAAGGGAGGACTCTTCCACAAAACAAACAATTATATCTTATATGTTTGGGAGTTAGACATAGTAGAGTGATTAGGGCACATACGTAATAAGAGCATGACCTAGGTGTCATCCCCAACATAATCTGGCCTCTAGCACACTGCCAGATTATTATCCAGGGGTCCCAAGCACTGCCACGACAATCCTGGTGGCACCAGCACCTCACAGCACAGAACTGCTGCTCAAACAGCCAAGAATCAACAGGAGGGAATCTCCAGGCCTACCCCTAAAAAAATTCATTCCAGGCCATTAGCACTGAACACCACTTAGGAAGCCATCCTACTCCCCAGTCCCCCATTCCCCTCCAAAAAAGGGGTCTTAAAAGTTGAATTGTTCTTCAGATGACTGGTTAAAGAAACTTTGGTACATCTACACAATGGAGTACTATGTAGCTCCTAGAAAAGATGAAGTCGTGAAATTTACATACAAGTGGTACAACATGGAAAGTATCATGCTAAGCGAAATGAGTCAGAAAGAGAGGGATAGACATAGAAAGATTGCATTCATTTGGGGGATATAAAGTAACAAAATATGAGATTAATACCCAAGAATAGCTCAGATCAACACCAGGAGGATTACTCCATAGCTTAGTGGCCAGTCGGGCATTCTAGAGGAAAGGGCAGCTCAGATAGAGAAGGGAACACCAAATAAAGGGTGTTTGGAGGACCCTCCCAGGAGGGAGGGGAGATGCATGTCGAAAGTGGACTATGGACTGAACATGTTTGCCACTCAATGCCTCTTTTGCAGACCACAACACCCAAAAGGAGAGAGAGAACACAGGGGATTGCCCTGCCACAGAGGCAGGGGGGGATGAGGGGATGGGGGTGGGGGGGATATTATCCATGGTGGTGGAAAATGGGCACTGGTGGAGGGATGGGTATCTGATCATTGTATAATCAAACCCAAGCACAAAAAATTGTAAATCTACAACTGTACCTCATGGTGTTTCACTAATAAAAAAAAAATTTAAAAAATTTAGAAAAAAAAGTTGAATTGTTCTTCTCTTCAAAAATCTACCTACCAGTATATGTCCCACTATAACATGCTTCCCAAGAAACTAAGCTGATAAAGTAGCACTGTAGCACTGTCCTCCTGTTGTTCATCGATTTGCTCGAGCGGGCACCAGTAACGTCTCACAACAAATTGGAGACTTGTTGTTACTGTTTTTGGCATATTGAATACGTCACAGGTAGCTTGCCAGGCTTTGCCGTGTAGGCAAAATACTCTCGGTAGCCTGCCGGGCTCTCCGAGAGGGGCAAAGAAATCAAACCCAGGTTGCCAGGTCGGCCACATGCAAGGCAAACGCCTTACCCACTGTGCTATTGCTCTGTGCTATTGCTTTTCTTTTTTGAGGGGGTCACACCCAGTGATGCTCAGGGGTTACTCCTGGCTCATGCACTCAGGAATTGCTCCTGGCGGTGCTCAGGGGACCATATGGGGTGCTGGGAATCGAACCTGTGTTGGTCATGTTGGCTGCGTGCAAGGCAAAAACACCCTACCCGCTGTTCTATGACTCCAGTCCCCTCAATTTCATTTAAAGTAGTAAAATATACCTGAAAACAGAGGGAAAAGCTAAAATTTGGAGCCAAAACCTCATTTACATTCAAGATTTACCCAATATTACTTATGTAATTTTGGCCTAAGACATGTATACATTTTCCTTAACAGTAATTTAGATAGCCACAAAGAGCTAGATCCCACATACCCGGGAGTCCAAAGGAATTTCAAGTATGTGAAAGTATTTCATTTTAACATACTCCTCCCACATTAACCAGATCAGTTATATTTTCAATTAACTTCTCTATAAGCCGTGAAGCCATTGAGTTCTCTAAGTTACCCATAATTCTGTTTAGTATGCAAATGTATCTTCTTTATCCACCCATTTTAACTTAGATCAAAGAATGTAATATGGATTCAGTCAGCCTTCTAGAGAGGTCTGTGCTAATGAACCCCTCCCTCACTTTCCACTTACCTCTCCACCCTCTACAGCCCAACTCTGCAACTTTCATCTACAAAAACGGTCTCTCCATAGCTCTTTTCCATGGCTATTTTCACTAATCCCCCCCGATAATTCTTTTTAAAAACTTTTTGGATGTTTCACGATCATCAGTTTGCTCCTGGCTGGACTCCACTATCTGGACAAGTCTCATCCAGAAATTAATTTTTTTTTTTTTGGTTTTTGGGTCACACCCGGTGATGCTCAGGGGTTACTCCTGGTTCATGCACTCAGGAACTACTCCTGGCCGTGCTCAGGGGACCATATGGGATGCTGCGGATCAAACCGGGGTCCGGCTGTGTGCAAGGCAAACGCTCTGCTGTGCTGTCACTCCAGCCCCAGAAATTAATTTTGAAAAACTCCAGTATGCAGGTTTTGTGACTGAAATCTCCAGCTTTCATGAAGTCAGGGAGGATTACCTCCCTCCATTTATCCCTGTTCTTCTGGAAGCCCAGCAGGAACATCTCCAGCGCCATGTGAGCTCTCCCATAGGCCATGATCCAGAATAAATTAGAATTACAAACTTAGAAATAAATCTTGAAAGAGATCAAGAGATCAAGAACTTCTCTCAGATCCTGCATAAGGCTGAGTCATACAAGGGCAACCCAGAGAGGGACGGGTGAACCCTCATGTCCACCCAGAGTGCCAGCAGCCAAAAACCTCCACATTCCACCATCAGCTTTCAGAGATCGGGCATGGACTACTCTCTGTGCTTCTGGAAACCCAGCAGTCAGGCATATGCCCCAAAGCCACCAGTTAAGAATTTAACTCCATCAGTAACTCTGTCAAAACTTTTGGACACCCTGGAGTATGCGGCTGCAATTCTGGCTACGTAACATCTCAAACTCTGCAACACTGTTAAACCAGAAGTAGCACACCAGACTGGATGGTATGTAATATGAAAGGCAACCAATTTCAATTAACGAAATCTATATACAGAAGGCTTAACCTGTAATGTTTTAGTAGTCTCTTATACAACGGTTTAAGGGCTCCATGGTGAGATGTAAGAATCTTCACTACCGGGGCTGGAATGATAGCACAGCAGGTAGGGTTTTTGCCTTGCACATGGGCGACCTGGGTTCTATTCCCAGCATCCCATATGGTCCCCTGAGCACCGCCAGGAGTAATTCCTGAGTGCAAAGCCAGGAGTAATTCCTGTGCATCACTGGGTGTGACCCAAAAAGCACAACAAACAAACAAACAAACCCTTCACTATCTTTCTTCTAAGGAAACATTTTTTGATCATCCTTTTAGCAAATTATTTATGACAAGCAATATAAAATAAATGATTGTGGGCATGCTATGGGGGCAGGTTCAAGGGTAGTTGGGAAAATTGGAAATAATGGTGGTGAGAAGGTGCAATGGTGGTGGGATTGGTGTTGGAATACTGAATGTCTGTAAAGTAATGACTCAAAATCATTTTTAATAATTTTTAGCTTCACTGTCGTGGAGAATTCTGCCCAAATTTTCCTCTATGTACCTATGGATTCATGTCTGATATTGAGGTCTTTAATCCACGAAGATCTGACTTTTGTGCCTGGCATTAGACAGAGGTCAGAGTTCATTTTTTTGCAGGTAGCTATACAGTTTTCCCAGCACCACTTGTTGAAGAGGCTTTCCTTGTTCCACTTCACGTTTCTTGCTCTTTTGTCAAAGATTAAGTGATCATATACTTAGGGGTCTGTGACAGAATACTCAATTGTGTTCCATTGGTCTGCAGGTCTGTTTCTAGCCCAGTACCATGCTGTCTTAATTACTACTGCTTTGTAGTGCAGTTTGAAGTCGAGGAGGGTGATGCCACCCATCCTCTTTTTCCCAAGGATTGCTTTAGCTATTTATTGTTCCATATGAATTTCAGGAGTGTTTTGTCTATTTCTTTGAAAAATGTCATGGGTATCCTGAAAGGGACCGCACTGAATTTGTATAGTGCTTTGGGGAGTATTGCCATTTTGATAATGTTAATCCTCCCTATCCATGAGCAGAGGATGTGTCTCCATTTCCTAGTGTCCTCTTTTATTTCTTGAAGTACTGTTTTTTAATTTTCCTTGTATAGGTTCTTCACCTCTTTGGTTAAGCTGATTCCGAAGTACTTGGTTTTCGGAGGTACTATTGTGAATGGGATTGTAATGTCTGCCATGGAGGCAGGAGAAAGATGCGAAAGGGGAGGTATACCGGGGATATTGGTGGTGGGGAATGTGCACTGGTGGAGGGATGGGTGTTTGATCATGTGTGATTGTAACCCAAATATGAAAGCTTGTAACTATCTCACGGTGATTTAATAAAATTAAAAATAAATAAAAAATAAACGCTCACAATAATGCCCAAAATGAGTGTGTGTGACAGAAAGAGAGAGAGAGAGAGAGAGAAAGAGACAGAGAGAGAGTGAGAGAAAGAGAGAAGAAAAGTGCTTGTCATAGGGACAGGCCAGGGGAAGGTGGCGGGGGAAACTTGGGACACTGGCAGTGAGAAACAAACAATGGTGGAGGCATAGGTGTTGGAACACTGTATGACTGAAAGTCATGAACATAAACCATAAACAGCTTTATAATGCTGTATTGCATGGTGATAAAATTTTAAAAAATTAATAAAATATGAATTTTTTTAAATTTAAAAAAAAGACAAATAATTTAATCTATTCTGGATTCCACTAAAATGTTCCTAAGAATTTTAAGTTGTAGAAGCAACTGCCATTATAACAAAATGACAGTGATATGGAGTGATAGTACAGTGGATAGGGCATTTGCCTTGCAAGTAGCAGACCCAAGTTTGATTTCATATGGTCCCCTGAGCATCACCAGGAGCAATTCCTGACTGAGGAGTTAGGAGTAACTCCTGAGCATCTCTGAGAGTGCCTCCGTCCCCTAAATGACCATGACAGTAACTGAATTAACTGTATGGTCCTTGAAATAACTTAAGAAAAAGGTTCTACTGAAGAAATATTCTAAAGCACTTATGATATATAAGATAAAAGTCTACTAGATAAATGATGGTACATTTAATAAGATATTTACCTTCCTACTACAGCATATGTCAGATTTGAAAATCAGAAAACACTGACTTCCATTCAACCACTGTAACAAAATCATTATCTGTACTTTATTCATTTCAGAATCTTTCTATAGACCCCAAAATATTGTCAGGAAGGTAATACATGAGGTAAGGCATTTGCCTCACATGTAGCCAACCTCATTTCAAATCCCTAGCACCACATGCGGTCTCTCTACCACCAGTTGTCTCTCTACCACCAGTTGTAACTCCTAAGCAGAAACAGGAACAGTCTCAGAGCACTGTTGGGTGAGGTTCAAACCTCTACTTCACCCCACAAGTAAAGATAATTGGATAGACAAACGAATGACAGTTCATTCATCTGATCCAGTTTACAAAACATAAAACTTAGCTAACACAAGTAAAAAGCTTAAGGAACAATTAACTTAAAAAAGAAGCTAAAAAGGCTAAAACTTTAGTACAATGGGTAGGGTGCCCACCTTGCATGTGGTCAACCTGGGCTCAACCCTAAAGATCCCATATGGATTCCAGAGTAACACCTGAATATCACTGGATGTGCCCCCCCCACTCCCCAAAAATAAAGAAACATAAGCCATACAGAGTTAAAAAAAAAAAAAACCTTGATTTAAAAAAAAATCAATTAAAAAACTAAAAAATATTAAAATCCTAGAGATCCTAGAGCTAGGAAAATAGCTCAAATAAAACCACATGCCTAACATGTCAGGCCCTGTACCATGAATACCACTGAAAGTATCCCCAACACTACCAGTTATTGGCCTTATTTTAAAATATATACATATATTTAACATATATAAAAAAACAAAGCTCAAGATTGGAAGAATACAAGCTGCAATATAATCGTTTCTAAATCTAAAAATTTGTAGCACTCATTTTACAAAAACATGTTCAGTTCTAGAATTACAAATTACTGATTCCATGCAACTTTTATAATTAAATTCACCATTAGGAAGGAAATGTTTTCCATGGCTAAGTATTTTTTGAGATATAAATAACAAAGTATTTGTTTTAGGTGTTCAACATGACTTGATACACATATATATAAACTGCAAAATGCTAATCACAGCAAGTTAACATTCTTCATCAGTTTTAATTTTTTTCTTATAAGAATGTTTAAGATGTACTCTCTAAGCAACTCAAAGTAAAACTTAAATAAGAATTCTTTCACATCATGATATGAAAAAATTGTAAAACCAACAGAATCAATCACTAACGGCTTAATAATGGCACCCAATTTTTGATACAGAACTGTTAGTTAAAGAAGTAAAGGATGTATTTCAGTGGGAGAGTAAATGCTTCACATGTATGTGGTCCTGGGATCAATTCCCTGCACCATAAGACTTGAAATTTAAAATTTAAAAACTTACCCATATTGTGGTGCTCCCGTTTTAATGTCTCCGATAGTGACATGAACATCATCCTCATCATCATCACTGTCACTGTCACTATCATCTTCAGTTTCAGTCACTTTCTATACCAACATAAACAGTAATAAAATACATTCAATAATCCACCTTCAACATCTAGTAACTGGAAAAGTAACCAATTCGTTTCACCTATGGGTTTAGTTATGTAACCAATGTTTTCATTTCTTCTTTGTAAGTTTAATGTTTTTAAAAACTAAAAAAAGTGATAGAAATGTGAAAAAAGACTCTTTCAAGCAGTTCTGGTAAGACTACCTAATGTTATCTTTGTATTTAAAGCTTTTTCCCTTGCCAAAAAGGATCTTAGGTAATGTGCTAAGGTATCCAGCAGATAGAACCACAAAAAGTAGGTATTTGAAGAACTTTTGGCAAAAGAAATGTGAAGAGTAAAAAACTAATTATGGAGCTGGAGCAATAGCACAGCAGGTAGGGCATTTGTCTTGCACACGGCCGACCCTGGGTTCGATTACCAGCATTCCATATGGTCCCCTGAGCACTGCCAGGAGTAATTCCTGAGTGCAGAGCCAGTGCATCACCAGGTGTGACCCAAAAAGAAAAAAAAAATCATACTAGGCACAGTGTTAGGTTGAAAAGCAACAAAATGTCACCAAAGAGCTCACCAGTCATGGCATTCATTTATATCTAGAAGAGGTCTTATAACAAAATGACTGGGAATGTATTTTATCTGAAAAACTAAAAAACATCAGCATACTTAGGAAATTGTTATTTTGGCTCTAAAAAGCTATTTTGTCCATAGTATTCTATTAGTTAACTTAAAAAAAAAAAGCATCATTTAAACCAGTATTTATCAATAAGAGACGGTATGAGACCAGGATGTTCCAAGGGGCAACGGGCATGGGTAGGAGAAAGTAGGAGGCTAGAGGACCATTAGCAGGAGAGGGCAGTCCACAAGTGGAAAAAAAGGCTGGAAGGGGCCAGAGTCTGAAAAAGACTGAAAAACAGCAACCTGGGAAGAACATTTTTAACCAGACAAGTTTAATCTCTTTGTTTCATAGAAATAACTGAATATATTAAAATCTTCAAAAGACCATGGTAAATTAATCCTGCAAAACATCACTTTAAGGTGAATGAGGTCAGAGATCAACATACAAAATAAAATTTTCCTTAAAAAAACAACAACAATTTTTTAAAAAAGAACTGTGATAATCTAACAGGTTCAGAACTCAAATGAAAGCAATAAACCTCTGCACACACTCTATTTCATTTGAATATCTTCCCACTATTTCTTTTCACTGTGCATCAAATAAATATACCTGACAACCAGATTATGCAGGATACTCAAAAGTTTAGCTAAATTTAGACTTTCATCTTAACTAGAAATCTACAGATTTTAAATACGGAAGCAACTGAATTCCAAAGCCTTATGTTACCGGTTTAGGTACACCATTTTCAGCAGCTTCTTCTTCAATTCCAGATGGAGGATTAGCACTACAAATAAAAACAAGTACACATGTCTGTTGTTACTTTTCAGAATAGACAGATTATACTACCTAGTTCTGATAGTTTCCGAAAATTGTCCACACTGAGAAGGTAAAACTAAGTACGAGTTGCCTGTTTATTCTTCTATTCCTACGCCTTGCTTTAAATAAATATTAAACACTGAAGGTGAAATAAAATTGCCTCCAAAATTTGTTAAGGACACCAAATTTAAAACTTGGAAAAGGTATAATTAAAGGTTTTTAACACTTTTCTAATATGCATCATAATCAATTTTACTTATTCTAAACCATTTGAATACTACCTAAGGTCTACATTAGATAGCTTTTTTTTCTCTTCCCTGGGGCCCAAGAAACTCAGATTTAGGGTATTATCACACTAAATCTTTCACTATTCAGTTAACATACAAACATCTTTTTTTTGTTTCATCAATCTTATCAGAAATGTTCTTAGTTGCACAGGAAGAAAAATTTAAATTAAAAAAAATATTTTTGTTTAGGACTTCCAATTGTACATTAACAAGAAGTATCAAGACAAAACTCTAATCTAAAAAATTAACTGGAGTCAGAACAGTAGTACAGCAGATAGGGCGTTTGCCTTGCACATGGCGATCCTCAGCATCCCATATAGCCCCCTGAGCACCAGGAGTAATTCTTTAACGCAGAGTCAGGAGTAACCACAGAGAATCGCTGGGTGTGACCCAAGAAAAAGCAAAATATATATAAGCAAACCAAAAGCCAATTAATACCACAATCTGTCCGGTTACAACAAAATAGATATATAAAGTATTCATTTCCAAGTAAGACAAGTACATAGCCAACTGACCACCAAATAAAACCTCTACTACTATAGAGCCTAGCTTCTTAAAACAGATCATGATCCCTTATGGTCATGACATAACATGGGGTTGCATAACCAAATGTAAATGTAGCAAAAAAAATTTTACAATAAATTTGTAATTATTACTAAATGTTTGATATGCCTGGATTATGCATAAATTTCTTGGGTGAAATGAGGTCGCATGTAAAAAAAAGTTTAAGAAATCCTGCTACAGTATGATTTTGTTTTAAATTATAATTCTGGGACAAAAAAACAATAGTACTGTGGGTAGGGCACTTGCCATGCACATGGCGAACCCAGGATGGAGCCCCATCATCCCATATGATCCCCAAAGCCTGATAAAAGTGATTCCAAGCATGGCAGAGTGTGGCCCCAAAACTAAAATTAATAAAGTAATACTGATAGTGGGAATTAACTAGTAATTCCATTTTATAGATAAGGAAATTAAAAGCACAAAGCAATTAATTCACAATTAGTAAGAGCTCAGGAAGCCAGAGTCCAGTGGGGCGGCTGTTTGCCTTACACACAGCTGACCAAGGTATGATCCCTGGCATCCCAAATGGTACCATGCACACAACCAGGAGTAATTCATGAGTGCAGAGCCAGGAGTAATCCCTGAGCATTGCTGGCCATGACCCAAAAAGCAAAAATAAAATAAAAGCGTTCTAAAAATTCTCAGAACTCTTCATTAGATTACTATTAATTTCTTTGAAACTTGTCATTCAGTTTCTCTAGAAGTCCATTACTCTCTAGTGGTATTTTGCAACACAATCCTCAAAGAAAGCAAAACAAAAGGTTGAAAACTGAAAAACTTGTTAAACGTTCATTGTTCAATTGCTTGATCTGAGGAAACAAAATGCAAATATCATTCCTCAGTACATTTAGTTACCTATTACTTCAATAAGCTTCAGCAAGTTCAGCTTGCTTTTTTACGTCACCTAATAGTCTGTTTGGCCAAAACTTAGAAAGCCAGAAACTAACATAAGTGAATATAATGCAATGCCAATGGTTTAACAGATTTAACAATGAGCCAGTCACAAGAGTGGAGTGTACTCAAATAGTGGGAACTCTCTTCACATAGGCCCAAGAAGTGATCTACCAAACTGCACCAGAACAAGAGGTCTCACAGAGCTGTCTGCCCAACAGACTTTCAGAAATGAATACTTTGCAATTACCATTAAAACACAGGAAGCATGATAAAACTGCACCTCACAGTGCACAGTATTTCACTGATTTTTTACTTAAAATTGATATCTCTTGTATGGCTATACCAGTTTATTATACACATCTGATGGACACCCGAATTGTTTTCATTCATGGGTGACTATGAATAAAATCACTATGAACATTTATGTAGATGTTTGTGTACAGACATACCTTTCATCGCTCAAATGCGTATATCTAGGTGTGGAATTTCTGGGTCATATGGTATAATAGCTCTGTTCAACTTTTTGAGAACCTGCCATACTGTTTTCCAATCTATAACAGTTTACAATCTATCAGCACGAAAGCGTTCCAGTTGCTCCATATCCTTACTAATGCCTGATTTTTATTTCTCCTAATTATAACCCTCCTTATAGCAATAGCCCAAATAATCTTGAAACATTTTTCCTAACCACTCCTCCCTCAATAAAGGAGACCAAGGAATCTAATGAGACTAATTTCAGCCTGTCTATAAACTTGTATACAAGTGCTGTCTTGAAATTTAAAGCAAATTTCTGGCTCCCCTAATATAATACTCATACCTTTCTAGTAATCAGAGAAAGAGACACAATCATAACAAATTCACTAATCACACTTTGCATTAAACTCAGAATGTTTAAATAGAATCAAAAGTGCATAACATCATAAAAAAAATCTTGATAGTGAAAAGTAATCACATCTTTAACTTCAAAAACTTTGTTCCCTCATCTACTGGCAACCAAATGAAATAGGTCCTGAAATAGGAGGAACCTCTTAATATCTTCTAACTTTGAGTCAAAATGTTGTAATCAAGCCACTGACTAGAATGAAAAAAATTATGACAAGCTGTCAACACAACTACACTAGACCACATAATTGGTGTAGAAATCCATGAGAAATTTCCACTAACCTGGCATTTTCTTCTTCTGGCCTTTCAACTTCATTTTCATCTACCAAAAAAAACGCAAACAAATAAATACATTAAATCAAAAAACCAATCACGCTAAGGAAAGCAGTATAAAGAAAATCTGAAGTGATCATCACAAGCACTAACCTAGGTCCTTTGCCAAATCACTGTGCACATGCACGTCCCATGGGCCTATAAGCACATCCAAAGTTAGATCACTTTACAATGATTTCACAAGATACGTCTCTTATAGGAAAAAAATAACATCAAAAACGCGGACTTTACTTCTATAAAAATAAGCTTCATTAAAAGGTCGGTTTGAAAGGTCGGTCAAAGAACTCCTACACGCTAGCAATTCAGAGCGTTACTAACACAAAAATCTTTACACCAGAGATCAGTTTCTCCAAATCAAGAGTTTGTTCAAGTGACGTCATTAAGGAGCTGCCTGGTGCCCAAACGTGCCATTTCACGCTGCTTTCAAAGTCAATCCAGAATATGCTTTTTAGGCATAAGGAAAAAAAAAAATTCACTTTCAAAACCAGTGGAACTGCGGGGGGGGGGGGGGGGGGGGGAGGGGTACTACGACATAAAAAGTTGAAAACCAGAGGTTGAAGTTAAGTCCCCTCCAAATTTACATGATGGACTCAAATCGAGAAAAAATGCATGAAACGATTACCGAAAACTGAAATAAGAGGCGCAATGAACTACGTTCAGGATGGGGAAAGTTTCTAAATGTTTTTTTTTTCTTTCTCAAAAATAAAAAAAAAGGGGGGGGTTAAAAAAAAAAACTTCACCTGGACACAGGAGACACTCGGTTTTTTCTTTATGGGCCATGAGGTATTCCATCTCTCCTTAAATGACTTTTAAAAGCCCGACTTTCGGGCAAGGAGGTGCCCCCCTTTTGGCAGGTGCATCCCCCACACACTGACCGTCCCGAGAAACGAGACGTTAGAGCGGGGGCAGGGGGTGGTGCTGTTCCCAGCGGCAGCTCGGCGGAGCGCTGAGTACGGAAGGGCCGTGTGGGTAGCTCGGAGGGAGGGTCGGGGAGGGCGTCCCGCAGCCGGGGGGACGAGGGGACGGAGCGAGGCGCCTCGGGAGGAGCGCCGGGGAGCACCACCGGGCGGCGGGCAGCGGCGGCCGCGCGGCCCGGCCCGCGGGGCGCGCGGGGGCGTGGGGGGGGGCGTGGGCCGGGCGGGACGCCGCGCACGCCGCGCTCGGCCTGAGGGAGCGACAGGCCGGGCCGGGCTCCCCCACACAGGCCGCGGCGGGCCCGGAGAGGCGGCTCGGAGGAGCCCGGAGAAGCGAGAGAGAGAAGGGACAGGGAGTTCCGTACCGCCATAGAGCCACTCTTCCTCCTCATCCCCTCCGGTCCCGCCGCTCAGTTCCGACACTAGGCGCTCGACCTCGCCGGCCGACATGGCCGCCCCGAGCGCCACTTAAAGACTAAGAAAGCCGGCGATCCACAGCCCCCTCCAACCCTGGTCCCCCCAACCTCGCTGCCCCGGGGAGGGCTGGGGGGGGGGGCCGCGAGCCTGAGGTGAACCCGGCGACTAGCCAACGGAGAAAGCGCGAGACCCCCTCCCCCCACCAGCCCAGGCAGGCGGCCGAGGCGGCGGTGGCGGCGGCGGCGGCGGCGGCGGCAGGAACAGGCTTCAGCGCGGCGCGGCGCGGCTTCTACGCACGCGCAGCGGCGACCCAGCGGCGCGGCGTCTCCAGGCGGCTTCGCTTCCGCGGCGGCGGCGGCGGCGGCGGCGGCGGCCACCTGAGCCTGACTGCGCCTGCGCGCGGCCGAGGCCCCGCCCCCAAGAAATCCCGCTCTGCCTCTCAGCGAGGCTTTTTCGCCCGCGGCTGCGTCAGCTGCGCCTCCCCTCCCCCACCCTCCCTCTAGTAGTCCTTATTGCTTTTGCCCATGGGTACTTCATTTTTACCTTTCCTTTTGATTTTTTTTTTTTTGGTATTTTCTCTTTCTGTTTTTATTCTCCCGAAAGAGTTGGCTTTATTCTTTAGTTGGTATACTGTATGGCTTGACTCAGAGCTCTGAGGAAAGGTCTTGTTTCTCATGACTGAAATCATCACTCCAGGCTACTTGAGGTTCAATATCTAACTAAAACAAAAAACTGAGGTATGATAGATGCGTTCTCCCTGTTAGACCATTACAGATACAGTCCAACACCTCCACTTTTCCAGAGGCAGCCCTTGTTTTCTGTGAAGTGTGCAGATCCCGCAGTTTGCTGGGTGTTTGCTTCAGGTGTGTATTGTTAGGGCACGAAAACTAAGATGCTAGGAGTTTTCAAGATAGCAGTAATACTATGTGTAACATTCTGCTAGCTGCTTTGCTCCCCGCACCCCCTTTTTATAATAGTGTGGTAAAGGTTCTATCTATCTTAGTATATATCAAACTGTGTTCATTTTTAAGTGCTTCATAATATTCTACGATATGGCAATCACAAAATGAATGTGGCTATATTCCTATTTATATGTATGTAGATTGCTTTCACATTTCACTTAAAATTATTTTCTAATTTAAACTTGTTACTGTAAGGATTTCTTGTACAAGATTTGCACCAGGGTTTCTCGAAGATACATCATAATGTATGAGTGGTTATTGTTTCAATAGATAAGTTTTGAGAACTCTTCTTTCAAGAAAATGGCACAAAATGAGTCAAAGTAGTTGTTCTAGTTCTTAACTGCAAACCATTTGGTTCCATTCTCAGGTAATCAACCTCCCTATAGTTTTCCCATTTAAGTTGTAGGAAAGCTAATTTGATGATCTCTTAGTCCCTTTTGATCTAAAATTTTTTTTTTAAAAAAGTGTACTAACTTTTCAATGAAAAAAATTCATTTTAGGTTTTAAAAACCAATGGGATTACTTGCTGGCTAATAAATGCATTTAATAATTGCCGAATATCTACAATTATTTTATGTATAATAATTGCTGATTGGGGGTATGGTGCCGCCAGCAGGTCAATCTGTAGCTGTGACACGAGTGCATCAGCAGCCTGATGGCGCCTTCAGACTTCCAGATACCCCAAAATTGTTGCTGTGCCTTTGGCCAGACCCCAAAAACTGAGGGCAAAGTTTACCAAGAAAGTAAACGGCCAAAAGTTAGGTATGTGGGAGACACACCCACAAACCACCTCTGGCTCAGCTATATAATTGAAAGTAAGGACTCTCTGGTTACTGCTTAATGGCCATGATCCCAGAGACCCAGAAATAAATCTTGGAATCCAAAGGCTTTTGGCAGAAATGCGTCTAGTCCCTGCAGTTGGTTACCGGTGCCGGGTCAACCCAGGTGGGAATAGGTTTCATGCCTTGGCCTGTTCCCCCTGGTGGCTCGGTGGCCGCCATCCTCTAGAGGCGATTGGACAGTCAGGTTTGGGCCCGCAGTGATGAGACATTTTGGGCCCCCCGGGATGGGGGTGGAGCCGGTCGACCGTCCTTCCCACCCCAATGAGACCCCAAGTCATCGCCCATGAACAGCCTTTCTGGCTCCTGATCAAGCTGTTTAATGGCCATGATCCCAGAGACTCAGAAACAAATCTCAAAACCCAGTGGCTTTTGGCAGAAATGTGTCCGGACCACGCGGTAGGTTACTGTCGCTGGGCCACCCCATGGGGGGAAGGGTGTTGTTCCTCCACCTGCTCCCCCTGGTGGGTCAGTGGCCGCCATCCTCTAGAGGCCATTGGACAGTCAGGCTTGGACCCGTAGGGACAAGACACACAGGGCCTCACAAGATGGGGTGGAACCGGTCCTGTCCTCCCCATCCCAACGAGACCCCAAGTCATCGCCCACAAAGGGCCTTTCTGGCTCCTGATCAAGCTGCTTAATGGCCATGATCCCAGAGACTCAGGAGCAAATCTCGGAACCCAGCAGGTTTTGGCAGAAATCCCTCCAGATTTAAGTGTTAAAATTTCGGAATTTCAAAATCGTGTGGCCACTACTGCAGCCACGCAACATCATATGTTATTCGTAACCAGCAATAGAAAACAAATTGTCTACTGTTGCCTTTTCAGCAGATCTGAGTGTTGGGGTAAAATCCCAAATAATAAAGGTGGGTCTGGTGTCAAAATATTGAATGTGATCAAAGTAGAGAGAGAGTAATGTGGAAATCATCTACCCCACAGGTAGGGGGAGGGTGTGGGATGGGAGTATAGTGGGGTTGTTGGGGGTGGAGAATGGGCACTGGTGAAGGTACGGGTGTTTCATTGTATGACCAAGACTTAGACCCAAAAGCTTTGTAACTGCTCTCACGGTGATTCAATAAATAAAATTATAAAAAATGAAAAAAAAAGTAAGGTGGAGTTCATGTACAATTAAATCAGCTGATCAGTGGCTGAATAAATAGCAGTACTCCTACATAAAAAAATTGCTGATTCTTTAGAACTAAGCAAATAAAGAGTAAAACATGATCGCTGCCCTTAAAGAACTCTCAATTTTTTAAGTGTGTTAATTAACTCTTTACTATGGAAGATTTATGCTATAATGGAGCCTCACGGTTTTCCCTACCCTCTAGTACACAGATTGTGTTAAGTAAATTATGTGGTTTTAATTTGCATTGCCTATGAACACCCCTTTTACTGATATTCTGTCCACTTTATCTGTTTAATACCTTTCTTCTGTCTTAAGTCTGTTGATGTGTAATCTATTTTGTGCATCGTATAGAATTTCATCTCCCTTTTTTTTTATTCAAAAAACTAATTTTGCCGAGTCTAGCAAGTGTAAGGAAGTTTCTGGGCTAGGTAGATTCAGCACTGAGAAAAAACAAAATCCTCCTGTAAATGTGCAATACATTACATATGGATAAGAATTTCAAAGAGTGGAGCTGGAATGATAGCACAGCGGGTAGAGTGTTTGCCTTGCAGGTGGCTGACCCTGGTTCGATTCCCAGCATCCCATATGGTCCTCTGAGCACTGTCAGGAGTATTTCCTGAATGCATGAGCCAGGAGTAACCCCTGTGCAATGCCGGGTGTGACCCAAAAAAGCAAAAAAAAGCAAAAAAAAAAAAGAATTTCAAAGAGTAAACAGGAAAAGGACTCCAAGAGAGAAGTGTTGAAGAGGAGAAATGGGTGCTCTTTTATCAAATGGTCCAAGAAAAACTTACTGGTGAAGAAGTTGAGTCGATATCTGAAAGGAAAGCTGTAGGTCCCTTGGCTTTCTGGGTGAAGTCCTATCAGATAACTGAGAATAGAAAATGCAGGGCTGGGTCTGAAGAGATAGTACATCAGGTAAGGAACTTGCCTTGGACATGACCAGCCCAAGTTCTATCATCTGCATCCTATATGGTCCCCTGAGTACTGCAAGGGGTGATTCCTGAGTGCAGAGACAGGAGTACCCCCAGAGCATCACAAGATATGGCCCTAAAACAAACAACAAAAGCAAGACTCTATGACAGAGCATACTTGGCATCTTTGAGGAATCTAAAACAAATAGAGTGGAATGAATGAGGGGAAAGGATAAAGATAAAGTTGGAATTACTGGTGAGATTGTGGAGGTAGTAAAGTACAAACCATTTCCTCCTAGTTTCTGAGCTGCTAATCTGGCATGAATCTATCACATTACATAGTAATTGGGTGACCTATCTACATACATATCTGCAAAACTATTCATGAGACCCAGGCTTCCCTTAAACAAGAGGTGCTCATCTGTGATTCTCATTCGTGGTATGTTGCCTAAGCATTTAGATCTGCTCATCTCTTACAAAGAATAACCACTCCTAGTCCCACTTATTTTTTTTAACATTTCATGAGTTGATGAACCTTGGTGGTTTCATGGGAGAACCAATGCCATTTTCTGAGGATTGTCTTTCTCTTTCCAGTGCCTAAAATGAGCTTGCTTCCAAGGCATTACTTAAATGAAATGAAGGACTGATGAATAATAATTGATGCAGGACTGGAGCAATAATAGGGCCTTTGCCTTGCATGTGGCCAACCTGGGTTCAATCTCTGGCATCCTATATGGTCCCCAAGCACTGCCAGGAGTAATTCCTGAGTGCAGAGCCAGGAATAACCCCTGAGCACTGCTAGGTGTGTGTGACACCCCCCAAAATAATAATTGATGCAACAAAATTGCCTCTACCATGGAGGTAGCATTTGAACTAAGCTTTTAAAATGAAGACATCCATGAGAAGAGAAGCCCATAAATAACTAATAACCACTCTTAAAAGGTCTTGTTTCCAAACTGAGCTGTGACTGGATAGTAAAGGTATGACTAGATAGTAAAGCTGTTACTAGATAGTAAAGATGTCTTTATCTCCTAATTCACCCAGGGATACATCAAAGATATAAATGGAAGATATTATATAAAAGTATGACTTCAAAGCTGGTGATGTGGCTTAATAGTAAACTATAATATACGTTGCATGCAAAAGATCTGGGTTCAGTTCCTTGCACCAAAATTCATCTACCCACATAGACATGTGTCTGCAGAGTATTGAATGTATTATTGTATTTTCCCTTATTAGCACAGCGGTAGGGCGTTTGCCTTGCACGCAGCCAACATGGCCGACCCGAGTTCGATTCCTCCGCCCCTCTCGGAGAGCCCGGCAAGCTACCGAGAGTATCTCGCCCGCACGGCAGAGCCTGACAAGCTCCCCGTGACGTATTCAATATGCCAAGCACAGTAACAACAAAGTCTCCAATGGAGACATTACTGGGCCTGCTCGAGCAAATCGATGAACAACGGGAGGACCTTTACTTACTTTACTTATAGTTTAAGTTTCAGTTGTTTCTTCACAAAGCAAATGACAAAGCATCAGTTCATTCAACCATTCATCATTCATCAAAGCTTCCATTCAACCATTTGTTATAGTGAAAATGTATCCACGCCAAAAACCTATATTTTTGAGTGGGTTGAGTAAGAGGACCTTTTAGCAACAGGCCTACAGATTGGAAGATATTGCACTTGTGGTTTAAAAGCAACAATCTTGTCTGCATGGGCACAAATTTATCTCTAGAAAATACTAAAAGGGAGTGCTTACTAGATGATATATAGAAAATAATTTCCTAGAATTATTTTTTCAATGGTAAAAATTAAATGAAATAGCCATTATTTGTCTTTAGTAGACAGCAAGTATCCATAAATATGTTTGAATAGATACAAGTAAATGTGCTTTGAATGAATATTAAGTAGTTAAAATCACATTTTCATCAGGTAAATCTATTCACCTTATGTGTATAATCTTAGCAGGAATTAGCCTGACTCTGCCATAACCACTGAGAGCTTGAAATAACTGTTCTCCAGATTTTCTACTCTTTGCTGTCCATCCTGTGAGATTTTTAAAACGTTTTCTCTCAGCTATTTTGAAAGTCTCAGACTTTATTGTTTTTCTGGTTCATTACCACAAGTGTTCAAAGGGTAATCATGGTTCAGTGGTCAGCAGTCAGTGATCATTCCTATCAGTGCTAAGGGGACCATGCTATATTGGGATGTAACCCAGGACTCCTGCTTTCAAACCATGTGCTCAGACTTTGAGCTGTGTCTCTGCTCTCAACCTTTTAAATCATTTATGTGGGTCTGGAGTTATAGTACAGAGGGTAGGGCATTTGCACGCAGCTGACCTGAATTGGATCTCCAGCATCCCCTATGGTCTCCTGAGAACTGCCAGGAATAATTTTTGAGTGCAGAGCCAGGGGTAACCCCTCAGTATTTCCAGATGTGACCCCAAATGTCAAATAAATAAATAAATAAATAAATATAATTTATATTATAAATAAATAACAGAGGATCCAATGAGTCCCAATTTCTCTATCAGTCTTTTCTTTGAACTCAGAACAAGCTACTCATTCGATGCTTTAGTTGATAGCTCTCTTGGAAAATAGTTCAAATTTATGATCAAGCCAAAATGTGTGCACTCCTTCCCAAACCTGCCCTTTCCTACTTCCATTCAACCATTTGTTATAGTGAAAATGTATCCACCCCAAAAATCTATATTTTTGAGTGGGTCGAGTAAAAGGACCCTTTAGCAACAGGCCTACAGATTGGAAGATATTGTACTTGTGGCCTAAAAGCAACAACCTTGTCTGCATGGGCACAAGAAGGAGTTTATAGGAAAAGAACAGGGATCAGCCTTGTTCAAGGTGAATGGCTTAACCTCTGTGCTATTTCTCTGGTTATTTTAGATTCTCTTGAAGGTAAGGCTGTAGCTTATTTTTCTTTGTACCTTTATTTTTCTTTGTACCTTTGTCTAATATAGAACCTGAAATGTTTTACATATTGATAAAAATTTGGTTGAAAATATATTTTATTATGCAGATAAAGGTAAAGGTAAAGGCCCTCCCGTTGATCGTCGATTTGCTCGAGCGGGCCCAGTAACGTCTCCATTGGAGATTTTGTTTTTACTGTGTTTGGCATATCAAATACTCTCGGTAGCTTGCTGGGCTCTCCGAGAGGGGCGGAGGAATCAAACTCGGGTCGGCCATGTTGGCTGCGTGCAAGGCGAACGCCCTACCCGCTGTGCTATCGGATATGGATTGAATATTTATTTATTTAACACAGTTATGAGTACCTGTTACATTTTAGTGTTGGGGATACCAGCTCTCTAGCACACTAGAACAAATATGTTATTTTATTATTTTTTGGTTTGGGGTCATACTTGGCAGTGCTCAGGGGTTACTTGTAGCCATGAGATAGTGACAGCTTTAATGTTTGAGTTTCAGTCGTACAATGATCGAAAACCAATTCCTACACCAGTGTAGCTTTTCCATCACCAGTGTCGCCAATACCTCTCCCGCCACCCCTACTCCACCACACCCCTGCCTCTATGGCAGGTAGTTTTCTTCTTAATTTCTCTCTCTTCTTTGGGATATTATGGTCTACAATACAAATACTGAGAGGCCATTATGTTTGGTCCTTAGTCAACTTTCAGCTCACATCACCTATACCAAGTGATACCTCCATCCATCACTGGTCCCTTCTCTATTCCAGCTGCCTTCTCCCAGAGCACTTGAGGCAGGCTTCCAAGGATGAACCAATCCTCCTGGCCATTGTCTGCGCTGTCCTTCGGTGTTAATCTCATACTATGTTATTTTATTTCCCACTCTCCAAATGAGTGCAGTCATTCTATGAATGACTACTTTTATTTTGTTTTGTTTTGGTTTTGCCTTTTGAGCCACACCCAGCCAATGCTCAAGTGTTACTTCTGGTTCTGCACTCAGGAATTACTCCTGGTGGTGTCTGGGGGACCATATGAGATGCCAGGGATCGAACCCAGGTGGGCCGTGTGCAAGGCAAACACCCTATCCGCTGTACTATCACGCCCTTCCCGAGTGACAACTTTTAGAGAGGCGTTCAGATCTAAATAAAACAGAGGATTAGTAGATGAGTGCAGTTTTTATTACTCCAGAGCTCTCGCTCAAGAGGAATAATGAAAAGTCATGTGATCACAAGGAGACAAACAGCTAGGCACTGGCTATAATATTAGGCAGCCCCTCCTCACTAGTGGCGCTTTCAAACTTCCAGGTACCGGGAAGTTCCAGGCACGTAGCTCCGCCCGCTTCTTCCCAGACGTCTCTGTCCTTCCGCGCTTTTTCTTACCAGCCAATCAGGGCTTGTGACGTCATCTCCGTGCGCCGCCAGCGGACGAGTCAGAGGCCGGACCACGTGTACTGTGTTGACTGTCAAAGTCTGAGGGAGCCGGGTACCCGGAAGCCGGAGTTGAGAGCCAAGTTTCTGAGCCCGTGTGCCCCGAATCAGCGACTCCCGCACCATGAGTGCCCCGGGAGTGCTGTCCTTCACGCAGCAAGGCTGGGAGCAGGTACTGGCCAAAGTGAAACGCGCTGTGGTCTACTTGGACGCCGCCTGCGCTGAGAGCCTGCACTGGAGCTGCGGGTCTCCCCGACTCCTGGACGCCGTGGGGAGTCCTGCCTGTCACCTGCGGGAGTTCGAGCCCGCTGCCCTGGGAGGCGGAGCGGAGCAACCCAAGGCCGTGTTCGTGCTGAGCTGCCTGCTCAAAGGCCGGACCGTGGAGACCCTCCGCGACATTATCCGCCGCAGTCACTTCCAGTACTGTGTGGTGGTCACCGCCGTGAGCCACGCCGTCCACCTCACCGCTAACCATGTGCCAGCCGCGGCCGCGGCCGAGCTGGAGGGGCAGCCGGTGTTCGAGCAGCTGGAGGAGAAGCTGTGTGAGTGGATGGGCAACATGAACTACACCGCCGAAGTGCTGCACGTCCCGCTGTTGCTCGCCCCCGCCGCGCCCCACCTTGCCCTGACTCCAGCTTTTGCTTCCCTGTTCCCACTGCTCCACCAGGATGTGCATCTCCTGAATAGCGCTCGACCGGACAAAAAGAAGCTGGGTGGCCTGGGTGAGGTGGATGCCAGTGCCCTCCCCTCTGAGTTGCTGCTGCAGATCAGGTGCTTGGTGTCAGGCCTCAGTTCTCTGTGTGAGCATTTAGGAGTCAGGGAAGAGTGTTTTGCGGTGGGTGCCCTCAGTCGTGTCATCGCTGCAGATCTTGCCAATTTTGCCCCTGCCAAGAACAGGAGGAAGGCCGCCACAGGCAGGGCGTCGGTGGTCTTTGTGGACAGAACGTTGGATCTGACAGGTAAGCGGGGCTGCTGGGAAGGGTGCCTAGCCACTCTCCAAGATGCTGGGACTTTTAATGATGGAGCATGTATTTTATTTACGTCGTACTGTAAAGATAAGCTGGAAAGAAACAGCATCTCTTGTCGCAGGGTTCACAGTCTACAACGGAATAGAGAGAAGCTTATTAGCAGTTATGATCACTTTGTTAGGTTCAGTTATGAGTCAATACATTCCCAGTTACAATTGCATCTACTCAAGAAATTGGAAAAATGGGATTATGCAGCTGCAGAGAATCAGCTCTCTGGGAGCCCTCATGAAGTGTCAGATGTCAGAGTTCACTCAAGTCTTTTGTAATTTGTTAGGTGTCAGCAGATGGCCCAAAGAACAGAGAATTATAAGACAAAACGTGAAATTATCATAGACAGTGGACTTTCAGTTTCTTTAAGTGAATGTTAATTGGTTAATTGGGTCCAAATGATAGTACAGCAGATCAGGCGTTTTCCTTGTATTTTGTAGACCAGTCTTCCATCGCATCATTTCATATGGTCCACTGAGCCAAAAAGGAGTGATTCCTGAGCACACAGATAGGAGTAAGCCCTGAATACCTGTGAGTGTTATCCCTCACCTGCCAAATTGTGTGTTAATAAATGAGGCTGAAATTAATAATCAGAAAGTGAGATTAAATATAATTGCAAAAATAGTTTCAAAATGTTTATTGATTTATTTTTGGCTATCGTTCAATTGGAGATTAGGCTGATCCTATCAAGTTATAATGACATAGCCATCATTTATACATACAGTCTACAAATGGAACCCTTAAAATAGGTAAGGGAAAGAACTTTGTGACACTTGTTCGTTAATTGTCAAAGGTCAACTTCATAGTTCTGTAATTGGAATGGTGCTAATACTACTTAGTACTACGTAATGATCATACCCAGCTTCATGGAGAATGATGAAAATGACACTGGAAAGTGTTCCTTGTAGTAGGTTGGAAAAAAGCTGAGTGAAGATGTAAATCACAATAGGCCTGTTTCAATGTTTGATCACAATAAGATTAATTTTCAAGTCATAAATAGAAAAAGTAAGGGACTGTAGAGATACTACAGCAGGTAGGGGTTTGGGCAACCTGGATTGGCCCCGGAGACTGCACGAGTATTTTCCTGAGTACCTCGTCAAAAGTAATCTGAGCACCACTTCTTATGACCCCAAAACAAAAACAAAGAAAAAATGAAGTGAACTAAGTGTTAATATTGAGATATGCACTAATAATTGTACTACATGAGCATATGTTTGTTGAGTTATTTGAATTTCTGATGTATACTGTTTAAACTTTTATGCCAAAAAAATGTGACGTTGTTTTTATAAGTAGTTAAGCCACATAAGTTTGTTGTACCCAACCAAGATTTCAGGTAGGCAAACCTTAATATCCTTGAAGCAAGGTAAATCTAACTTTTGTTCTCTAAAGTACTTTTCATTCAAAACAGAGAGAGAGAGAGAGAGAGAGAGAGAGAGAGAGAGAGAGAGAGAGAGAAATTAAGTAATGACTTAGGGATCTGGAAGATAGCTCAAGAGTCAGGGGTTTATGCTTTGTATGCTTGGCACCACTCTCTGGGCATAGCCCACTTGACTGGAAATGTCCATGAACAGGAACTCTAATGGTTTACTCTTTATTAGCTTTCAGAAGAATTTCTGAAAATAACTGATCACTCTCTATTTGTGTGTGCATATATATACATACATACATATATATATACATACACACACACACACACACACATATATATATATGCACACACACATACATACACACACTTTTTCCCCCCAGGGCCACACACAACAGGGGCTATTCCTAACCTTGTGCTCAGGAGTTGTTCCTCACTGTACCGGGATCCAACCCAGGCCTACCCACATGTATACTGTTTGCACTGGCCCGTTGAACTATATGAGTACCCCAGCTCAGGTACTCAAAAAATACTTACTGAATGAATAGATAAACAAATAAGTGAATTAAAGGTTACTGCCAGTCAAACACTGAGGTAATATACTTATTTTGATAAGAAATGTTTCTGAGATTAAGTTGCTTTCTTGGTCATTAACAAATGCAGCAGGTGTGCACTAAGGCAGTGCTTCTCAGCTTTTTTCCAACCATGACCCACTTCTGGTCATGTTTTCCTTCCTGTGTCCCCTCTGTCCTACACATGGACTCTCTGGTCCTCATTGGCATGATTTTTACCTGTGGCATCCTAGGAATAATCTGAGAACTGCTACCCCAAAGCACAAGTTTTCGAAGTATTGCAAGATTTGATACTTTAGAGTCACTATAAAACATGAGCAAGGCAATAGTGATATTTTTTAATCCTATTTGCAGGGCTGCTTTGTGAATAAAAATCACTTTCATCTTATAGATCCCAACATATTAGTTGAGTATTGTATTTATCATTTGAAGCAAATAGATTTGGAGGTTCAGAAGTTGTTCTTTACTTCCTGAAAAGGGGGGAAGCATAAGCATTGAGGAAAGACTAGATGGGCCAGAATTGTATCAATATTTCTATCACCATCTAAGTCCACCATCTGTTTTGTGTGTTTTTTGTTTGGGGCCATACCTGACTATGCACTCAGGGTTCACTGCTGACAGGCTCAGGTGTCCATCTGGGGTGCCAGGGATCAAACCTGAGTCAGCCACGTGCAAGCAAGTGCCCTACTTACTGTACTATTTCTCTAGTCCCTAAGTTTCCCAGATTTTGTTTTCTAAATTGTCCAAGGGAAAATTGTGTTGTGGGTATGAAATACTGACTTCCTTTGTCTTTGTTAAGATTCCTGACAGGAGATAGGATTCCAGAATATTCTTTATGTTAGTGAAGTTACTCAATGGACAGACTGATATGGGAGGTGTATATACATACATACACACATGTATATACATATATATGTATATATACATGTAATCATATGGAAGAATATTCAGGGACCCAAGAGACAGCGCAAAGTACTGAAGTAATTGCCTGGCTTGAATAGGACCCCAGATTCAATGCTCAGGATTGCAAGTTTTCCCAAGTAATGCTGGGTATTGCCCAGATTTCCCAAGTGCCACTGCCGAGACCCCCACAATTTAAAATATAATTACTGTTAAAAGGGACATTATTCAAGGGGAGCAACTAAGGGCTTCTCTGGATAGGTACAAGACATTAAATGAGATGATAAGAAAAATTAGTCACTTTGGGGACCAGAAAGATAGTATAGTGTTTGCCTTGCTTATGGCAAACTGATTTGATCCTCGGCTCCCCATATGGTCTCCTGAATACCACAGGAGTCATCCCTGAGCAGTGTACCAGGAATAAGCCCTGAGCACTTGTAGGATATGGTCCCCAAACTAAAGCAACAATGACAACAATACAAAAGACAGTAGGTCAAGGGCTTAGGAAAAATCATGAAATTACAATTTTCAATAGAATACTAAGGTAATGGGAGTGATTTTCCCCAGATCTATTTGAGGTGTATCTCTACCTCTGACCTTTGTGAGTAGTTCACTCCAAAACATTTAGGTGGGACTGGGCAGGGGAGGTGTCTCATAAGGAGGAAGGCACTGGCTGGGTGCCTGGTCCCAGATAAGGTTTGAAGGGGTTGAGGTTGCCTTCAGGGAATGTTGGGTCAACAGCAGTGGTCAAATGAGATGAAGGGAGAAGAAACCATGGGGCTGTTCCAATTTTTCCAACTTATTTACCAGTCTAGTGTTGCTTCAAGTCAAGCTCATGCCTCCTTTGAAATCAGTCACCTTTAGCATAATTTATTCAGTACATGGTCCATGATTTACTCAACAGACTCCAGTTAGGACAGGGTCAGAGAGATAGTATAGCAGGTAAGGCACTTGCATTGCACACGACCAACTTTGGTTCAATATGGTAATGAATATGGTTCCCCCAACCTCTTCCAGAAGTGACCCCTGAGCACAGAGCCAGAAGTAAGCCCTGTGTATCACTGGATGTGGTCCTACCAGCACTGCAACCAAATGTTTAATCCACAGCCAGCAGTGTAGCTGAGTATGTGAGCATTGCCACTTAGTTTATGTCACTTGTAGACCGCCCCCTCTATGCGCCCCATACACATCATAGCATTAACAGTCAAGGGGAGGGAGGGTGGAATCCATGATTCCATTCATAATAGTATCCTACATGGAAAGAAATAGGTCTCATACAGTGTGTAAAATCTTTATAGAACCTCTCTCTGTAATGAAGGGAAAGATTAAGATCTCTGAAAATCTAAGTGTAATAGAAATGTTAGCATTTGATTGATTTTATAAAAAGAAATCAGAAATTACTGATAGTGGAATTCTGTGAGTGCATTGTCTATGTGTGGGTCATGTAAATGAATATTGAGCCCCGTCCAGATGACTGTGTGAGAAACTTCATATAAGAGCAGGGCAATGACTTGAAAGCTCAAGCTCGTGTTATATGAAAAATTTCAGAATATTTGTGCGTGCATATGTATATAACATGATCTTTTTACAATAGGAATATAGGCTCTGCACACATTCTTTTGGCTTTTTTTTTTTTTTGGAGTCACACCCAGCAATACTCAGGGGTTACTCCTGGCTTAGCACTCAGAAATTACTCCTGGTGGTACATGGTGGACCCGAGGGGATGCTGGGGATTGAACCCAAATTGGCCGCGTGCAAGGCAAAAGCCCTACCCACTGTACTATCACTCTGGCCCCCAGTACACAATTTGGAAACTTAAAAATAGAAGAAAATAAAACTCATCTTTGAGAATTGTTTCAATAAATATGCTATAACTAAAGAAAAAAGTTCCTGGACCTGGGCAGATAGTTCAGCGGGTTGGGCACTTGCCTTGTAGGTGGCCAACTTGGGTTTGATCTCTGGAACCCCATATTGTGTTGGAGTCCTACAAGCCTCTCCAGGAGTGATCCCTAAGTGCAGAGCCAAGAGTCAGCCCTGAACACCACTGGATGTGGCCCAACCTCTTTCTCCCACACAGATACTCTTTTTATTTCAAACACTTAAGAGATTAGAATATAATATTTTAAGGATATAAGTGATTCTTTGATTTTCTAGGTTGAATATTAATTATTCAATCTTTAGAAATACATAACCATGTTATAGTTTGACGTCTCATGTTGGAGGAGTTTGAGTTTGAAAAAAATTATTATTATTATTATTTTTTTGCTTTGGCAATGCACAGGGGTCACTCCTGGCTTTGCATTCAGGAATTACTCCTTGGAGGACCATATGGGATGCTGGGAATCAAACCTGGGTCGGCCGTGTGCAAGGCAAATGCCCTAGTCCACTCTACTATTGCTCCAGTCCCAGTTTGAAAGGTTTTAATGAATTGACAAAGACCTCAGAGTTTAGGACAGGGAGAAGCAGTGAGCAGCCTCTGGGTTGTTAGTGGCTAAGGGACTTAGGAAAGAAAGGCAATGCACAGGGCCATGTGCTTGAGCCACATGTCTTTTAATGATTGGGGGGAAATGAATGGTTTAGGGGTAATGTTAGGAATTTGGGCATCAAGTGCAGAGAAAAGTTAGTAAAAAGTGGAAAATTCAAAATGTTTTTAGTAAAGGAGGGGAGAACTATTAGAAAAATTTATGAAGTGATGAGGTAATTCCAGTATCTCCCTCTGAGGCTTAAAGGCATGATTCACTGAGAGCCATCTAACCCCCTTTTCAAGAGGTTAACTGAGGGTATCTCAGGGCCACTAACAGACACTGATCATCCATTCAGCATGGCTGGTAGGATCACGGAGCTAAGCATTGTTAAATACAAAGCAGCTCGTCGTCAGAGTTCTAGAGAGTTCTAGAGTAAACCATAGTAAGATAAATAGCACTTGATTCCTTCTAGGCCTAATAAGGGAATATTCTCTTTGTGGAATAAGAACGCTTCTTTAATACAGGCTCTCGGGCTGTCTTTAGTTATTGTTGGCTTTTTAAAAAAATATATATATATATAGAGAGAGAGGGAGTATTGTTTGGAGAATTACTTGCTTTGGTCTTTGTAAGAATCCAGTGACAAATAAGTATAAAGTATGAAACTTAACACCCAGAATGCCAGTAATTGTCAATATCAGTTAACTATAGCATTGAGATTGATGATGGTTCCTTTAGTTACTGTTTAGTCTTTTCCTACCTTGTCTTTCTGTCCAATTAATATGACATGGCATGAAAATAATAGAGGAAGAGGGAAATTAAAAAGCAACGTGTTTAATTTACTTGAAGTGGATGAGATGTGGCAAGTTCTGTTCATTGTTGGAATGATAATCTTCCAAACAATGATCATTTTAGGGCTGGAGCAATAGTATAACAGGGAGGGTGTTTGCCTTGTATGTGGCCAACCCAAGTTTGATCTGCAGCATCTCATATGGTCCCCTGAGCACCACCAGGAATAATTTCGAGTGCAGAACCAGGAGTAGCTCCTGAGCAGCACTAGGTGTGACCCAAAAAGTCAAAATAATAATAATAACTTAAAAATAATTAAAAAAACCCAATGATGAATTTGGGAGTGAGAACTTAGGTTCATTCTTTAAAAAGCACTGAACATTGTTATTTGTCTTGAATTTTGGGTTGAGTTCATTTAATGAGCTTGTTTATTATTATTTTTTTTTTGAGAGTTGAAGAGAAAAATTTTTATTTCTTTTTATTTTTTTTAAATTAATTTATTTATTTATTGAATCACCATGGGAAAGGTTACAAAGCTTTCAGGTTTAGGTCTCAGTCATGCAAATATCAAGCACATTTCCCTTTACCAAAACTTATTTTTTACCATGAAGAACCCCAATAAAACCCCACCCCCCCAGTCCCTGTGGGGCAGATGAATTCTAGTTAACACTCTATCTGCTTTGATTAGATTCATTGTTTCAATAAAAGATTCTCCACTATTATTTAGAGTTTACCCCCCTCCCCCCCGAATCAGACATGCTGACAAAGCATTGTGAAGTGATTTGCTTTCTACAGCTGGGTTCAAGAATTATATGTTGGTTTTGGATTTCTGCTATTTTACTTATTGACCCTGGAAGTATTTCTACTGAAAGTCAGATAGTTAAGAAATTGGTTTCTGTGCTCTGGAGTCATGGCCGTGCTGGAGAGCTGCTAGTGGGGGGCAACTGGTGGCCTCGGTAGTCGTGAAGGACGGACCGGAACGCCCCACTTCCCATGAGGTTTTAGTCGCCCCCAGTCCCCCGGCTCATACCTGCTGTCCACAAGGCTCCCATGCGGCCGCCATCTTTCTTTCCAGAGAGGAGAAGGCGACTGGGGCAACACCCTTTCCCCTCCGGACAGTCATGATGGCCTGGATTAACGCATAGACCGTTCACTTTTCTGCTCCAAGCTACTGGGTTATGCATTAAGTCCTTGTGTTTCTGGGGCTGTGGCCGTGCTCCAAACTTAATTATGATTTTCAGAGAGAAACGTTGGGTCATTTACTTCCCATGGATCACTTTGTATATAGAGAGATGTCGCACGGCCGCATGAGCGGCCGCGCGGTTTTGAGGAAAAGTCCTAGTTCCCGCATACTCGAGCTGCGGTTGTAGAGGCTTCTGGTCACCGGGGTTCCATCTGGGGGAGGCGGGATGCGGTACCTACCCCATCTGGGGCTTCCCGATGATCTCGGCTCTTTTTGGAACCTGTTTTTTTTTTTTTTCTTTTTCTTCGGGATCTGTGGATCCCGCCCTCCATGTTGTTCTTCTCTTCAGCTGAATGCTGTAAATATGGCGCTGGGGGGCGGGCTGTGGGTGTGACTTCCGGAATCTGAGGTTACCTGGGAGTTGCAGTCCCGGCACATTTGAGGAAAAGTCCAAGTTCCCGCATACTCGAGCTGTGGTTGTAGAGGCTTCTGGTCACCGGGGTTCCATCTGGGGGAGGCGGGATGCGGTACCTACCCCACCTGGGGCTTCCCGATGATCTCGGCTCTTTTTGGAACCTGTTTTTTTTTTTTTCTTTTTCTTCGGGATCTGTGGATCCCGCCCTCCATGTTGTTCTTCTCTTCAGCTGAATGCTCTGTTTATTATTTTTTAATGTGTTTTCTTGGCCAGTCTCAGAAGCTCAGGACCTACTCCCAGCTCATTACTTTAGGTTTCACTCCTGGTGATAATCTGAGGATTGCAGTACTGGGGATTGAATCCAGAGTTACCTCATGCTTGAGCAAAGGAAATCTATACAATGTCTCTCTGACCCTCATTTATTTTAAAAGTGTTAATACATACATCTAAAATATCTAGTCACCGGTACATAGAACACACTCTTTAAATTCTACTGTTATTACCATTTCTCAATTTATTCTTTCTTTCATCTGGGAAGAATTTCAGGGAGTCTGTAACTGTAAGTTCAGTGTTCTAGACCTCTTGGATAGAGGGTGAACCCAATAACAGTTACCAAGTGAAGAAAAGATTCCAGAAGAGGGGAGATCTACTCATCAGGTTTCTACACTCTTCTGGACCTTATATAGTCATTAACACAAAAAGGAAAAAAAATGCTATCCTAAAAATTTAGTATGGTGTCCTGGGGTACTATTTGCCTGACGTCTCTAGGCTGCTCACTTAGTTATTAAATATGTTTTGATACACAGTATAATTGGTGCTGAAAATACAGTAGTAACCAGAGTAGGCTCAGTGTCACAGCATATGGAACATTCAGTCCAAAGTAGAAGTTGATTGGGTGCTTGGGTGCCTGAAACACGAAGTTCCTATTATTGATCTGTGTAACAGAAACTTAATAATGTATGTCATTTACTTATTTAATAGGGCCACACCCAGTGGTGCTCAGGGGCCAGGAGCACCACCCTTTGGAAGACTACATAGTGTTGGGAATCAGTTCACTGTTGTGAATATGCTGGGCATGTACTCTACCTCATGAGCCATCTTCCCAGCCCTTTCTGGTATTTGAGAGAGAGGTTAAGCCACACCTGGAAGTGCTCAGGACTTACTCCTGGCTCTGTGCTCAGAGATCACTCCTGGCATATGTGGCATGAGGGAGTTGAACCTGGTTGGGCCATGTGCAAGGCAAGTATCTTACCTCCTGCTCTTTCCATCCCCGCCTGCATGTTAATTTTGATTGAAGGGCCATTATAGACATAAATCCAAATTTCTTTTCCTCCATTTTTTAAAAATAAAAAATTATAATTTGTGTAACATGGTTACCATAGTGTTAGCGTTTTTTTATTCTGAACAAGGTTACCGCACCTTTACTACCCCCAAAGTGCCAAAAAGCCTCCACCACTGACCTTGTGTGCCTTCGGGTCCTTCTGTCACTTCTACTTTGGCTCCCGTTCTGCCTTACAACCCCCTCCCCCTGCTGCTTGCCATTCTTACTTTAGAAATCAAAAGCCAAAGATTTGTTATCACTTGATATTGTCTGATCCCTGGTTTTGTTTCTCTATAGATCACAGTTACTGATCCAGACTACAAGGTGTCTTCTCCCAGGTCGTCATTGTGAATTTATGTCTTCTTGTCTGCTTAAATAGGAGCAGTGGGACATCATGGAGACAACTTGGTAGAAAAGATTCTATCAGTGCTCCCGCAGTTTCCCGGCCACACTAATGATGTGATGGTCAGTATGGCCGGGCTTACGGCCCTCCAGGCTGAAGACGAGAATCAGAACATGGTTGCACCAGGCTGTCTGGCACAATCCCAGTGAGTTATTTTCCCCTCATACTCCTCATTGTTCCTTTTCTTTTTCCTCCTAGGCTGAACTTTCCTATAGAAATAAAACATTGGCCTGCTGGAGAAATTTGATGGATTTCATGTAGGAAAAAAAAGTCATGTTTTCTTAACTTTGAAATAACCATATCCTTTAGCCAACACTGAGCCACAAAGCATGGGATTTTGCAGCGGTATCATTTAGATGTAATAGAAGCCTGTTCCCAGGGTCAGTTAAGTTAGTCAGTTTGTAAGTCTCCATTTCATAGACAGTTTCATATGGGACTGAGGATAGGCTTTCCTTTTCCCCAATGGACTTTCCTACCCGGCCAAATAACAGCCTACACAGCTGTGAAATGCTGCCATCTCTTATCTGGACGTGATACGCTCTGGGGCAGCAGTGGCCAAGTTTTGATTTCTGTGTGTATTTCTTCTCATGGTTAGACAAATCAGAGCAAGACGATGGTGTGCTTTCTGTCACGCAGTTTCTAACATAAAAGAACATTTCTCAGCAAGCTTGACAATGAAAAGTTATAGTACTTATCATCTCCACTTTGTTCTTCAACAATTCCTAGGAGGGGAAAAAATTAATTGGAAGGGGAAAAATATATCTCAGAATATCTGTTTCTCATCTCCATGTTTTTTTAATTTTTGAACAAGACAAGACCTCTGGCATGATCGTGTCAGTGCTTCACAGTAACAGATGCAGTGGGAATTTCCTAAGATGATTGGAATTAGTTTTTTCCTCTTAACTTTGTGTTTGTATTTTAAAACTTATTTCCAAAACTCAAAGGAAAGCAGAATTTTCAACTCTTGAAATTTACAAGGTAGTTTTTTTTGGATTATTGTTGTTTCGTGTTTGCTTTTTTGTAGGGAGAGATATATTTATTGAATACCAACTATATTGGGGAAAAAGACAAACTTCTGTCACCAGTCTTTTTTTTGTTTTTATGTATAATATATACATATATATTTGGTTGTACTGCAAGTTGAACTTCACCTCACACATATCAGCTAAGTGTTCTGCCCCTGGGTCCCATCCCTGGCACCTTTGTGCAAATGATAAACAGCACAGGCCATGTGCTTACTGTGGCAGCACTTACTCTAAAACATAGACCTCAGAAAGTGTAAACCGAGAAATAGCTGTGATTGGAAATATTTTTTGCTCGTTAGAGATCCCTTGTTACTGGTATTTGGCATATTGGGTACGCCACGGGGAGTTTGCCAGACTCTGCCGTGTGGGCAGGTTACATTTGGTAACCCTTCTCTGGGCTAGAACGAAGGAGATGTTACTGGGGCCTGCTCGAGGCAATCGATGAATAACAGGATCGATCCCTTAAAGTGTTAATTATTATTATTTTTATTGAATCACTATGAACTATAGTTACAAAGTTAAAGGTAAAAGGTAAAGGCCCTCCTGTTGTTCGTCGATTTGCTCTAGGGGGCCCAGTAACGTCTCCATTGGAGACTTTGTTGTTACTGTGTCTGGCATATCGAATACATCACGAGGAGCTTCCCAGGCTCTGCCGTGTGGGTGAGATACTCTCAGTAGCTTGCCAGGCTCTCTGAGAGGGGCAGAGAAATCGAACTCGGGTCGGCCATGTTGGCTGCGTGCAAGGCAAACGCCCTACCGCTGTGCTATCACTCCAGCCCCAGTTACAAAGTTATTCACTATTAAGGTTCAGGTTTACAATTTCCCAATTCCAACACCAGCCCCTTCTCCATGTTCTTCTTCCCTCCTCCAGTGTCCCCAGTGCCCTTCCCACTTGACAATCTGCCTCTGTGGCAGGCATTTTCCCCTCCACCACCATTATTCTAGTGTTCCCTTCCCTAATTTATTCCCCTCACCCCTGCTCCACAGTAAACTTCCTGCTGAAGACCAGTTCTCCTGCTGTTTGTTTCTCTTGCCTTTGGGCATTTGTTATTCCTAAGAAGTTTCTTTATGTCCCACATATGAGAGATCATTCTGAGCCTGTCCCTCTCCCTCTTATTAACATCACTCAACATGCTACCACTCAGATCCATCCACTTAGCAGATTGCCTGACTTCATCTTTTTTGGTCACACCCAGCGATGCACAGGGGTTACTCCTGGCTCTGAACTCAGGAGTTACTCCTGGCGGTGCTCAGGGGACCATATGGGATGCTGGGACTCAAACCCAGGTCGGCTGCGTGCAAAGCAAACACCCTACCCGCTGTGCTATCTCTCCTGCCCCTAATCTTTTTCTTATGGTTGAATAGTATTCCATTGTGTTCTGTGTATGTGTCACAGCTTCTCTATCCAGTCATCTGTTCTTGGACACTTGGGTTGTTTTCAGATTTTGGCTATTATGAATTGTGCTGCAGTGAACACAGGGGTGCAGATGTCTCTCTTGCATTCTGCTTTGGACCCTTGGGATGTAGTCCTGGGAGTGGAATTGCTGAGTCATATAAAACTTCAATTGCTAGTTTTTTGAAGAATGTCTTTATTGTCTTCCAAAAAGTCTGGTCCTATTGACATTCCCACTGGCAGTGAATGAAGGCTGCTTTTCTCCACATCCTCTTCAATACTAGCTTTTTTTGTTTGTTTGTTTCATGAGTGTCAGTCTTGCTGCTGTAGGTGTGATAGCTCATTGTTTTGATTTGCATTTCCCTGATGACTGATGATGTAATGTATTTTTTAAAATATGCCTTTTGGTCATATGTATTTCTTCTTTGGGAACTTCTATTTATTTCTTTTTCTCATTTTTTGATAGAATCAGATACATTTTTTCTTGTAGAGTTCTACTAATGCTTTATATGTCCTGGACATTAATCCTTTATCAGATGAGTGATGGGCAAATAATTTCTGAGTCTGGGTGCCTTTTTTCTGGTTATTATTTCCTGTGAAGTGCAGAAGCTAATTTTATGTACTAATTTTATATAGTGCCATTTGTTGCGATAGTACAGTGTGTAAGGTGTTTGCCTTGCATGTGGCCGTCCCTCTCAGAGAGCCCAGCAAGCTACTGAGAGTATCCTGCTTGCACGGCATATCATATTCGATATGCCAAAAACAGTAACAACAAATCTCACGATGGAGATGTTACCGGTACTCGCTCCAGTAAATCATGAACAACGAGAGGACAGTGCTACAGTGCTACCATTTGTTTGTGTTTTGTCTCACTTGCTTGGTCAGTGGCATTTCCTCCTTTAAGTTGCCTCTAGCTTCAGTGTCGTGTAGAGTGTCTGCCTATGTTTTCTTCTCTTTGTCTTATAGATTCAAGTCTAATATCAAGGTCTTTAATCCATTTTGATTTGGTTTTTATGCATGACATTGGAAAGAGGTCTGAGTTTATTTTTTTTTGCACAGGTTGACCAGTTTTCTCAACACCATTTTATCAAAGATTAACTGACCATATACTCAAGGGTCGGTTTCTGAATTTTCAATCCTATTCCATTGATTTATGGGTCTGTCTTTATTCCAGTACCATGCTGTTTTAATTACTGCTGCTTTGTAGTGCATTTTGAAGTTATGTAATGATTCTCATCTTCTTTTCCCCGAGGATTACTTTGGCTATTGGGCAGGGGTTAGAGAGAGAATAAAGTGGTAATTTTTTTTTTTTTTTTTTTTTTTGCTTTTTGGGTCACACCCGGCGATGCTCAGGGGTTACTGCTGGCTCATGCACTCAGGAATTACTCCTGGCGGTGCTCGGGGGACCATATGGGATGCTGGGAATCGAACCTGGGTCGGCTATGTTGGCTGCATGCAAGGCAAACGCCCTACCCGCTGTGCTATCGCTCCAGCCCCTAAAGTGGTAATTTTTAAGGCTGACTGAGCACTGCAAGGCTTGAACAGAGCTGTGTTCCTGAGTCCAAGCACAGCACTATACTACCCAGTTGATTGATAATATCAGGAGTGTCCCCCTGAGCATTGCTTGGGAGGCTTCTCCACTTCTAACCTCTCAATATGTAATATAACATTTTTACCTTCAAGGAACAATTTTATCAGTGGGGTAGTGATGGTTTACACACTTTTCACAATAAAAAAAAAAGAAAGACCCATAATCATGACTTATGGGTCTGCTATAGATTATAATTTCTGCAAGTCAAGTGTTAGTTGAATGTGCACTTGGCAGACCTTTGTGAACCTTGTGGAAATGGTGGTGCTTGAACTCTTTCCAGGGATTTAGATAAGAAGAGAAAAGATCCTTGAGAGCAATCATGGACTCCTAAGCCAGACAACTTCACTTCACTACCACTGCCATCATCTCCATAAGCATTTCTCAAGACTGAACTGTGTGCCAAGAGCCCTTGCAGTTTACCTTTGGAAATTCATATACGTTTTATAATGACTAAATAATGTAGGTATTGTTCTTCTCCATCTTGCAGATGAGGAAACTGAGGCTGGGGTGCATCAACTCACATAGTTAAGAGGAGACAGAGCTAGAAATGGAGCCCAAAAACTTTACTACAGAGCCATCTCTCTCAAATTCTATAGTAGCTCTATAGGAGATAGAGAAGAGCAATGCTCATGAGTAGCTATAAAGAGATAATGATATGGGATGGGGTGGGGCTGGCTCTTCCCTCTCACACCCCAGTGAGACCCCAATCACCACCCACAAATGGGCCCTCTGGCTTCTCAACAAACTGCTTCAGCTGCAATCCCAGAGTCTCAGAAACAAATCTTGGAACCCAGCAGCTTTTGGCAGAAATCCCTCTAGATCTAATTATTAAGATTTCAGAATTACAAAATCGCTATTCATTATCAGCAATAGAAAACAAATTGTCTAAGGTTGCCTTTTTGGCCGATGTGAGTGTTCGGGTAAAATTCCAAATAATAATGGTGGGTCTGGTGTCGAAATACTGAATGTAATTAAAGTAGAGAGAGAGAGTAATGTGGAAATCATCTGCCAGACAGGTAGGGGAAGGATGTGGGCTGGGGGGTATACTGGGGTTTTTGGTGGTGGTAAATGTGCACTGGTGAAGGGACGGCTGTTTCATCATTGTATGACCGAGACTTAAAACCAAAAGCTTTGTA